TTCTTTATATGACCTCGGATATTCAGTCTTCAGTCTTCAGTAATAAGGATATTAGGTTGGTGAACCTGTGTTAATCCTGACAGATTGCCTTCCAGTGTAGGTTCAACTTCTCTTTGGAAATATTCACTGTTGGGGCTGATACTACTTGTTTGGGTAAGGTGTTCCAATCATTGACTACTCGATGAGAAAGTTTATTAGATCGTGGTTTATGAACCTTCTTGCTATGACCTCGGAGATTATTAGTGCTGGAGGGAGCAAAAAGATAAGACATATTAACACCCAAATCATAATTAAAGATACGAAATGCCAGTATAAGGTCACCTCGTGTTCTACGATACGACAAGGGGAAAAGATTTAGGCGTTTTAAGCGCTCATCGTAAGGGAGTCTAGAAAGACCCTTCACTAATTTCGTTCCCACACGCTGGATACGCCCAAGGGAGTTAGTATCCTTTACCAGACACGGGCTAGCTGCTTGGATACAGTACTCTAAATGTGGTCTAACATATATGGGATATAAAATTCGAAACTTTTCCTCGTCCAAAGATTTGAACGCTCGGCGAAGTGACCATAACGCTCGAAAACCTTTGACAGCGGCTGCTTTGCAATGCGTAGTTGTTTTTAAATCATGACTTAACACTACTCCTAAGTCGTTATGCTCTTGAACGCATGGAAGAGGTTTACCCTCAATAGTGTAACAGTAACTATTACCGTGACCGACGTGCATTAGTACACTCTTCCTAGCATTGATTTCTAAGCCCCACTCTCGAGCCCATCTAACTAAATCGTCTAAGTCAGCTTAAAGATCCAGATGATCAGCCACACTTTTTATTGTTCTCCAGATTTTTACATCATCCGCAAACAATAATGTCGACGACCTAAGCAACAGCGGTAACTCATTAACGTAGAGAAGGAAGAGCAGAGGGCCTAAGATGGTGTATTGAGGTACACCACTTTTGACCCGCTTCCAATCGGATAGCGTTCCGTTGACCCTCACTCTCTGTCTGCGGTCACATAAGAAATTTCCTATCCACGCATGTACAGTACCTATTATTCCGAAGCTCGTGAGCTTCTGCATAAGACCTACGTGTGAAACCTTGTCAAACGCTTTGCTAAAATCTATGAATATCACGTGACCAGTGGAGCTAATCCTTGTCGGGTAGAGACAGTTATCTACTTAAAGACAATGGAAGTGGGTCGCGCAATTTCGTGGATTGGTTGATGTTAGAAACTATCACCATTGGATGCCGGCTCAGTGGTCCAGTTGGTTAAGCGTTCGCGCGCGAGACCGAAGGCCCTGGGTTCGAATCCCGCTCGCGGGATCGTGGATGCGCACTGCTGAGGAGTCCCACAATAGGACGAAACGGCCGTCCAGTGCTTCCAGGTTTTCAATTGTGATGGTCTAACATCAATTGGTTCAAGATCTCAGTTAAAAAACTTAATAGTCTCCACAACCCCATACTAGGAATATCACGTCGACAGACAGACCGTGATCTAGGGCTGCTGTCCAATCCTCCCTCGCAATAAGCAAGTTAGTCAAGCATGAACGCTTGTTACGAAATCCGTGTTGCTCAGGAGCTAACAGATTGTGTAAATCTATGTGGCTTAGCAACCTAACCCGAATTATCTTTTCAAGTAACTTAACGACTATACTAGTTAGACTAACAAGTAGGCAGTTAGATACTATCTGTCTCTGACCGTCCTTGAATATAGGACTGACTATAGCGTCCTTCCAATCTCTAGGGAGTTGAGCGAGTGAGAGGGACATGTTGAAGAGTGTCGCAAGCGGTTTTGAAATAATGTCCGCAAGAGATGACAGCAACCGTGGATGTAACCCGTCAGGACCCGGTATCTTACCAGGTTTGAGGTTAGTTATCAACGGAAGGACAGTTTCCTCAGTCACCTGTACAGATTCAATGGTTGGTATCTCGGTGTGATTGGGACAAGTATTTGTTAAAATAAACGTAGAGAAGACTCCGCTAAAATAGTTTGAAAAAGTCTCAGCTTTTGCTCGATCTGATTCAGCTAGTAGTTCTGAATTTTCGTGTAACAGCAACGGGGGAATACCATCACTACGTTTCATTTGCCGTTTAACATACGAAAACAATCGTTTCGGACATGTACGGCTATCATATACTAACTGTCGTTCGTAAGTAGTACGGGATTTGGCTATGGTTTTCTTACAGATATTACGGAATTTTCGGTACTCACGCTTAAATGGTTCATGACCTGTCAACAAGAATAAGTCTCAGAAATGTTTCCTACGCTTTAACAGCTTCCGGGTTTCCTTATTAATCCATGGAGGGCAATTTGATAGCTTACGTGCTGACCATGGGATAAGCGGCGACGTTACGGACTCGAATGTGGCCTTAAACTTATTCCATTCATCTTCGATCAATCCATCCGCTTCGGCCGACCAATCAGTCGAGATAGCACAGTTTCTGATCGCCGGAATATTACCTCACTAGATATTGGGACGGGGTGGAGCAGATACGAATTGTATACCATGTGTCCTAAACTTAAATTGAATTACAACGTGATCATTGTTCACTAGTGGAGGAAGGTGCTGGATATCAAAGACATCCTCAGAGTGGTGGGTGAGGGCGAGGTCCAGTAGTGACGGATCATGTTGCAAATCAATATGTGTCGGTTTTGTGATACATTGTACAAGTGCACACTGAATAACGGTAGATAAAAGGTCGCTATCGAAACCACTACCTGGAGCTGTAAGCTCTATCCAATTGATATGCGGTGCGTTGAAGTCCCCAATGATGAGACAACATTCTGCCATACTCCAAGAACAGATGTGTCTTAGGATAAAGTCGTCAGCAAGACAAGACGAATTACGGTTTTTCCCCCTATAGTCACTAACCCATTTCTAGGTTTAATCTTACAACATGCCACCTCACATGTGCCACTGATATGAGCCTCCGATATGATTGATTGTATACGAAAGTGATCCCCAACGTATAATATTATACCTCCCCCCTTTGCGAATGAAACTCTATCACTTCTGATACAGATATAACCAGCAATGAAAGGAGAACAGTCTATATCAACTGTGAACCAAGTTTCTGTAACAACGATTATATCGGGACATAATTCTTGCACCATCAGACTTAGCTCGGACGTTTTATTTCTAAGACTACGAGCGTTCGTGTAGCACACACTTAAGGTGTTTTGGAAATCAATCGTTCTACCCATACAGGCCTCGGAAGCATTGGCTTCCAAGACCTGACTACCCGAAAACCCTTAATGCTAAGGTTATTTTCGCCATTTAATGTGCGAGTCCCCAACTCCGTAAGAGCATTCTTCTACTTGATTCGATCCTCAAGCGGCCAATCTGGTCGAATACGGATATTTGAGGCACGAGTTTTTAGTGCGCTTTTCAATAATATGTCTCTTTCTTCCAAAACTCCCGAGAACCAGCTTCAGGATTCTTCTCGGTTGGGTCTCGCCTCCAACCCATTTACCAAGTCGTATTACTTTTGTAATATGTACCCCTGAAACCTCTTCAGATAGTAAATTTCTTACCACAGACTCCACTAACTGCAGGTCATGTGCGTGTCTTTTAGCAGGGTCGTTATCTTTCGACTCCTCTAGATTCCAAAAATTAAACTAGGGATGGGTTTAGCTTCCTTTGAAACTGTGTTAACAGCTTTCGACCGTGATATCTTACGATTATTTATTTTACCAGAGTCCTGGGAGTCAAGTGAATGACTCACAACAGTGTTAGACGAAGCTTTACTTCGGAGCTTTGGCGGATTGGTCTGAGAGTCCACCAAGTACTTACTAAGTAAACAGTCATTAGTTTTAGCTGTTATTCGATTTTTCTTATCAGTCACGCCAGGATGGGTTTCACTCTTACCATCAGATTTTGGTAGTGCAGTTTGTGACTCACAATGAGAGTCCATCAGTGAGTTACTAACTACCTGTGTACTGCCTACAGATCTTTTCCTTTCGTTTCGTTTCCTACGTACTATAGTCCATTTTTCATCCCTCAGAATATTGGGACTATTCCGAACGGTGATGGTTTTATCCAGTTCGTCGGTTTCCACTAAAGATGCATTTTTATCAATGTCAGTACCAGGTGGTTTTACTCCCCTTGTTAATGTTAAAGGAGATCTCACTTTTGCGTTGGTCAGAGTCGGTTGTTTGAGGCGTCGCGTAACAGCAGATACTACACTGACACATTCGTCACTGTCAGTGCCGGTGTTGTCAGCGCATGTGTCATCGTTTTTCTTGCAGGCCAAAGCCAATAGGCCCATAGCCTCCTTAATTAGCACCGTTTTGTCCGTACAGCAGGACATACAAAGCCAATGCGAGTTAGGCTTCGAGCATCTTTTGTATGCCATATGACTTAGGCGTGTACACATTTTGTGGTACCACTTTTTACAGTCATCACACTGCATTGCCTCCTCAACGGGGAACAAACAATTTGGTTGCCCACATTTGTGAGTCTTACCAACCATTGTAATTAGATTTAAAAGGTTTAAAAACACAAAATGATCTCAAAGTGAACATAGGTGTTAGTCAAAGACTTAAAAATGGTACTCAGGACAAAATTTAGCAAAAAATTTCAAACTTTAACCAAAGTACTTTTAGTTAAAGTAGACCAAGAATGCTTTTTGGTGCAATAAGTACCCAAAGTAAGTATAATCACAACAAGTACAAAAATCACTGCCCTTTTTGAAACGAGCGCGTAGAAGGTTATTGTTAGTACTAGACTGGGGAAAACGATGGGGCATATTAACACCCAAATGATAATTAAAGATTCGAAATGCCAGTATATGGCCACCTTGCGTCCTGTCCAGAGCCATTTGAACATAAGAATTTTGTATATACCGTTGTCATAGAAGTGGTTAATGATGTTTCCGTTACATATCCTATTTCCATCTAATTCACACACATTTGTATGATAAAAAACGGGGTGAAATGCAATAGAATATATTTGAAACCTGAATTTCTATACAAAAACCGAGGCTTTTCAACTCTCAATTTACAATAACTTCATCACAAGGACGTATCGTCATTGGTTGTTATGTGCTACAGTTTGGTTATTCAGATTGAAAGGATAAGGTACATGTCAGTCCATTGTTTACCTCGTTTTTATTTTAATTTATACCGCTTAGTCACTAAAAACTCAAAATCCGTAATAAGTCGAAGATCCTTAGTAGGAAAGCGAAGTGTTGAAAGATCATCACATTGATTTTCAGGGTCGCATCAGATCGAGTGTTTACATTTTTGTTTGTCGGTCGTTAACAATTGCAAGAAGTTAAAAAAATATTCCGATTTAAATGTAGGCAACCAGGGGTGTGTAGGATTGAACTAACTAGTTTTTCTTCACCACTCTATTAATAATTATTAATTATTTGACTTTATATCTGTTGTTATTCCTTCAAACAAATACCCAAGGCCATCAGATCTTAGTTCTAGAAGGAGAACGCCATATGAGGAAAAATTTTTCCACTCGGTTCCCAAGTGAAGTGTTTTTTTCCAACTTTTTCATCACGTCCAATCAACTTTCATCTAGCTTTCTGTTCAGATCATTTCATTTCTAAAATAACAGGAGTCTAGGTGGCCTGTATTAGTCCTAGCAATGGTGGTCTCTCAGTTAATCCAACTTGTCGAAATATGGAGCTCCACTTACGTGTTCCAGTCTTCAGTAATAAGGATAGGAGGTCCATCGACCTATATAAACCACTGAGCCCGACGTGTTGACGTAATGAATCCCATTCGTTGAAAAAGTCGATAGCTGCCAATTAATTTGTTCTGTGCTTGTGGACGTCTCCAGAGTGTCCTTGTAAACACTGTTTTTGAAGACAAGAAAAGTGAGAGCATATCAGATGCAAATTTATCACTAAGTAATTTAAAAACTGACTAATATACATCATAATGCACACGAAAACATTTACTGGGGACTGTCAACTTTTAAATTACTCAGATAATTTCTTTAGATCATTTTGAAGCTCCAAGCTATCGCCCATTTTATCGCTTTCCGTATCTTGATATCAACATAACAAAACCGATGATTATAGGAAACTAGAAAGGTCATTTACATATCGGAGGAAAAACACTGGTCCCAAAACTGTACCCTGAAGTACTCAGCTAAGCATAGTTTCCCAACTAGACAACTTTGAGTTCACTCGTACTCTTCGTTGGTGTCCACATCAATAGATTGCCTCCAACCCTGACATTTCTTAACTTAGATAACCGGTTGTGAGGAATTCTGTCAAAAGCTTTGCTGAAGTCAATGTAGGCTGCATCTATAAGTGCCGTTTGGTATTTAAGAGCGCACCAGCTTTCACGAGCCACTAATAAGTTAGTGAGACATGAATAACCTGTTTTGGTAATCGACCCTGGGTTATAGATAGATTAAAACATATGCTTCAAGGAATCACGACAAAATTGGCTAATTCCTTTGGTAACCTGAGATGTATTTTATCAAGTTTCATGTATTTTCCTATATCAAGCTCATTTAACAGACCACATACATCGGGTTCTTTGATTGTCACAGTGTCTTGTGTGTTTGGGTTTTGCATGAACCGAATAGGAGAGCATCTCTACTGTATATACATTGCTAAAGTAATATGTGAATACCTGAGCTTTACCATGATCGTCCTCCGCTAATGATGCAGCACTACTGTCCACAATGCTGGAATATTTCCTGTTCTTTTAGTCCTTTGGTTTATGTACGAGTATAAGCATTTTGAGTAATCTACAGAGTGCTTAACAAGTTTTCCTTTGTACAGACTTCTAGACTTGCAGAAAATCAAGGCCATTACTAACACTAATTGGCACCATTAATCACTCTTATCTACTTTCTGTTGATCTCTTGTCGTGTTAATATAGTGTGGTAATTTAAAAGTAAGAGTCATTACCAGGCCGCACTTTGTATTTATCTGTTTTCTGTTCCGTCACTAGTGTGACAGGTAAAGTAATGAATTTTTATCGACCACAGTTATTAGGACATGTATTACGTATCTCCAAACACCGCATACCTCGGCTCTTGATGACGGATGGTGTAAGGTAGGGGTGACCAAACCAAATCTTGGTATCAGTCCATGAAGTCGATGGAGGTTGGACTGAGCTGCATAGGTAGGTTCGGACTCTCCAGTTGAGGTTTGCATGATCATCTTAACCATTGGTTAGAAACCTTGGATGAAATAACATGGAAACTTTCCCATTGGAACATGTGCACTCATTTCTTGAGCTCATTTAAATCTTAAGTTTGTAAATTATTTTAAAATGTTTTTCTGTTTCATGAATCTGTATTTTCTAAATTCACATGTTCTATGCCTAATACTTCCTATTACCACTAATACTGTTACCACGTTTACTACTATGTCATCAGTGTGGTGGTGTGATGCCTTGAGTCGATGCACTTATGTACCAGGCTCTACTCTGTCTATGACTAGCTATCGAATGCCCTGGTACGGTCGAGGGTGGGGAGATTCCACTCTCCCTCTCGAAATGCTCCCACATGACCTCGCGTATACAGCCACTGCCAGGTAAGTCCTATTCACTGCCTTCTCGCGGAGGGGGTATTATTTACAAAATTGAGATATGTCAAAGCAAATATCCAGCGCACCAACTGGGTTGGTGGACATGGAGGTCCACCTAGGGGAGTTGGAAAACCCTGATTTCAAACTGATGGTGCATATATGCTCTAGAATCCTTAGGGAACAAATGGCGTATGAACCTATTGTTGGTCACCGGCTACCATGGGAACACATCTCCTCACGTTGTTCCTTTGCCTTGTGGATTAGACCTTTAGGTCAAAGGCTCGGAGTGTGGTTCCCTAAGGAAACCACCTGCTTCGGTTTGAGCACCCGGGCAGTATCACAGCCCTCACACATCGAGTGAGATCCGTGTGGCACATATGTGTTTGGTGCCTCCTTGTACCAATATCTATATGTTAAAATAATAAATAAATAATGTATAGTCTGGCTACAAATGGGGATCTACAACGCGTCGGTGAGAGCACTCATGCTCCATGCTTGTGAAACCTGGCCTCTCTGAATTGAGGATGTCAGACGAATATTTGTGTTTGATCATTGTTGTCTTCGAATGATCGCTGACATCCAGTGGCAACAACATGTTATTAGTGCAGAGGTCCGGCGTCATGTGTTCGGGCACGACGATGGTGCAACACAGTGGCTTAAGACGTTATCAGGTGTTACTCAATATAATCCAGTGACGACCCTGCTGTAACTTCTTCCTGGTTATTTTTGCTAATTAAACTCTTTCTCTCACTATTATTATTATTATTATTATTATTATTATTATTATTATTATTATTATTATTATTATTAATAGTTTCACTCATACATTAATTTCTGTTCGTCGTTTTTTCTAATTATACGCACTTTCTCTGTATCTTAACCTTATTGTTATTGTGTGGCACATATGTATTTGGTGTTTCGCTTGTACCAATGTTTGTGTTCAAATAAAACAAATAAATAAATTGATTGAATAGTGCACAAATAAAATTCTACGTTTAACTGTGGAATGAAATATAGGCCACTTTGGGCAATCAGTCAACAACTAATGTCTCCAAGGGTCTAACATTTAAGTTTTAACACATTTTTATAAAAAAAACTGTCTCAAAGTTGAACATTCGACCATTAAAATTTCGGTAAAACGTTTGTCCTTTTTGCGAGTTTCTTCAGAGCTTGTTTAACAACACTGTCTTTGAATAATGAAAGCATACAATTACATTCTTCCTCTTTAGTGTCTCAAATCATACTAGTTCAATAACTTGGCGTTTAAGAATCTAGTCTGATATTTAACTAAAAAAAAACTGTCAATGACTTTTGATTTGTGTTTCCTAATAGTCATATACCCGGTAGACCGTTGGCCGTATTTTGTTAAATAATTTTTTATTTTATTTTCCTGAGAGTAATAAATAGTCACGCATTGTCTTATAATATTTAGCCGGCGATTTTTTAGTAAATGGACTCACCTCATATAAATCCAGTAGATTACATGCATTCACTATCGCTATGGCGTGAAGGTCAACATGCATCATCGATGCGTTTAGCTGTAATTAAGTCTGTACGATTAATTTCTTATGTGTTAACACCTTTGTGAATTAGTTAGGTAAGGATATATTTTTCATACTCATTCTGTGACTTTAATATGCTTTCTGTTCACAAATTACAGCTATGAGCCTATAGCCTTTTTATTCCATTATGGATAACCGATTTTATTTTCCAGTTAATCGATGAAACGGTATTTAAAAAAAGCTCGAGTTCTTTGCATCTTTTTCTTTCTCGTTATTCTATTTGGAGTATGTTGGGTGGTAAATAACGGTAATCAATCTATTGTACAATATCGGGTACGTTTTATTTGTGTTGTATTAAGTATTTTTTGAAACTTGAGGATTGTGTTGAATTTATCATATTATTGACGGACTAAAATAACTGTGTATACTAGATCTATAAGATTTTCATGGAGAACTGTGGCTCAACGGTTGTTTTTTAAATGATATGACCCCTTTCTATTTCATCTTTGTCACGAACAGTCATGTATTATTTCTAGTCCTAGAAATTATTATAGTTCAATTCTTATTACATAAACCTATACTTAGTTACTGAAGTGGCCAATCAAGAAAGTACACCAACTTTGAAACATTTAAGACACTCGATTTAATGAAAACATGGCTCGTGATACCTAGGATAAAATCAAAATCGTTGGAAGGTAAAGAATTATCGTCATTTGTACAATATACTTAGGGGTCACTAAATACATCTCGAAAAGGGGAGTGTGGTGTTACCCTAGTCTTATTATAGAGATTCATACAGTAGCTCTTAACTCACAAGGAACTCTACTTTGGGATCAAGACTTAACAGCGCAACGTTTGATCGCGGAAACTGAAGCCACGAGAAAAGCGAGAAATTCTAGTTAGAATGTAATCCTAAGAAAAATTTAGCTATAACTCAGAAAGCTGAATTTTCAGGACTCATAAACTTCAATAAAAGAAACTGTTTTACCCCCTAGTATATATTGGTTCCTCGTCATGGAGTTTACTGTTTTATATATGAGCATTCACTTTCAGTTTCATAAACTAAATACTCAGAATAAAATGCTTACAATCTGTAATTATAGTAAAAATACCAATCGAAACTTCGCTATAGTTTATTATGGAAACCAAAGTATTTAGATCGCAGAATCACTCCAACTCAACATCGGAAACTATGCCAAAAACATTACTAAACCTGTGTAGCGTATTATATATATATAATTATATATATCACTCCGAAATTTCTTAAGGTTGAACCAAATTTATGGCATGTCATCACACAATTCGATGTAAAGTACTGTAAATATGGAGAACAGATTTTGAAGTTAGTTGAGATGATTATAGGAAAAGGTGATCGTAAAACAACAGAAAATTAGATTGCCAATCGGTTTCAAGAATCTAAGACTAGAAACTGTCATTTTGATAACATGCTTTTTCGTAGTGGTGTATGTGTAATCGCTATTTTTATATTAATTTAGACATTACTTAAATACGTAATCTTCTTAAGAGACGTTGGTCTTCATTAAATCAAAATTTCTGTTCAACGTTTTAGAACAAAATAATTTAGGCGAAGAAATATTTTTAAATTTCAATTAAATAAACATGAACCTTTAAACAGTTATGCTCACGTTTACTAATTTTGAGCATTAAATTTAAATCACTGACTTCACAAGAGCTCACATTTATCTGCCTATATTAGCTTTTCTGAATTTGTTGGGAATAAAACTTCTAGAAAATCTAATGGGAGGTCCTTCACCTCTCTGTGTACATTTTTGTGCTTATATTATCACTAACTGTCAAATATTCGCGTTATTAAATAGGATTTAATAAGTGAATGAGAGCTGCAATTGTTAAAATAAACGAATAGACATCTGATCAAAACACGATGTGAAAAAGTGTGACGTGGTTAGATGATGACTGCTCACAAGACCGAATTGTCTCCCCCCTCGAATGATTTGTGATCATAGACAAGACCAGTAGCCAGAAGAATAAGTTATTGTAGTAAGCTAACGTGGTTACATACAAAATGCCTCCAAATGCCCTGGTACGGTCGGGGGTGGGGAGATTCCACTCTCCCTCTCGAAATGCTCCCACACGACCTCGCGTATACAGCCACTGCCAGGTAAGTCCTATTCACTGCCTTCTCGCGGAGGGGGTATTATTTACAAAATTGAGATGTGTCGAAGCGAATATCCAGCGCGTCAACCGGGTTGGTGGACACGGAGGTCCACCTAGGGGAGTTGGAAAACCCTGATTTCAAACCGATGGTGCACATGGGCTCTAGAATCCTTAGGGAACAAATGGCGTATGAACCTATTGTTGGTCACTGGCTACCATGGATGGGACTGCACCTCTTAGCGTTGTTCCTTTGCCTTGTGGATTAGACCTTTAGGTCAAAGGCTCGGAGTGTGGTTCCCTAAGGAAACCACCTGTTTTGGTTCGGGTGCCACGGTAGTATTCCAACGCTCGCACAAAGCAATGATGACTGCTACTGGTCTTATTGTTATTGTGTGGCGCATATGTATTTGGTGCCCCCTTTTATCAATATTTATGTGTTTAAATAAATAAATACAAAATACTCACACATGTGATATAATGATATGTCACAAACCATTATTTATTTATAAATATTGGTACAAGAGTGTGCCAAATATATATGCACCACACAAAACAATGAGAATTTAAGGGGAAGGAAAAGAAAAAAGAGAGAATAATAACGAAGAGATTGATGTAAGGTGGTGTAATAATTATTATGGTAGAAATGGGGGAACGGAAAGGTTCAATCAGAAGAAATCTTTCAGTTAAGGAATACACAACCACTTTTTTTTATGAAGAAAGTAAAGGAAGGTTACAGCAGGATCTTCTGAGCCATATCTGATAACGTCTCTAGCCACTGTGTAGCACCATCTCTCGGACCCCAGCTAGGGAGTCGTGAAGGACCAACACAAGCCAGTCCTTTGCAGCTTTCTTTCATCTCACGACACCATGTCATATAATGACCACCTCTCCGCTTTTTCCAACCAGTCCCAGAGTCGGCAAATAATGCACGACGTGGAATTCTCTGGGACGACATTCGTAGAACATGTCCAAGCCACCGAAGTCGATGTTTCAAGATGGTGACACCGATTGCATTATCGTCTCTGTGCCCGAACACACGATGCCGAACCTCTGCATTACTGACATGATGTTGCCACTGCATGTCAGCAATCCTTCAGAGACAACGATGATCGAACACAGAAAGTCGTCTAACGTCCTCAACTCGGAGAGACCAGGTTTCACAAGCATAGAGCAAGACTGCTCTTACCGACGCGTTGTAAATCCGACCTTTTACAGCCAGACTAACATCACGAAGGCGCCAAAGATGGCCCAGATTGGCATAAGCCGCTCTGGCTTTCACTATACGTGCATTGATCTCATCACTCACACTCCCACCAGCACTTATGCATCTATCCAGATATACGAACTTCTCTGCTACTTCTATCTGCTCACCATCCAGAGTGAGTACAGGATTAGGATCCTGCCAGTCTTGTAGAAGTACTTTGCACTTCGAAGGTGCAAAGCACATACCATACCTACGGACACTGATTGCCAACTGATTAAGTGCGGATTGCATGCCTTGGGCATTATCGCACAGTAAGACAATATCGTCCGCATACTCAAGGTCGAGAAGTCTTTCTCCAGGCAACAGATCCACACCGCCATTACTTACATCCATCAGAGCTGTTTGCAGAATGTTATCGATGGCAAAGTTGAAGAGAAGTGGTGAGATTAGGCAACCCTGCCTAACCCCAATGCTTGAATGGAGCAATGGAGAAAGGTGGTTGTATGTCATCACTCTGCCTGAGGTGTTTGTATATAGGGCCTTTAAGATGTTAATAAACTTCTCAGGCACACCCTTCTTCAATAGACAATCCCAGAGAACAGCCCTGTCCAACGAATCGAAGGCAGCCCTAATGTCAAGAAACACTACGATTGTTGGCCTTTGATAAGTATGACGGTGTTCTAACATTTGGCGGAGGGTGAAGATATGATCAATACATCCTCGACCAGAACGAAAACCAGCCTGCTCCTCGCGAGTCAATATTTCTCGGGTTTTGAACAACCTACGAAGTATGACGGAAGCCAATAGCTTGGACGCAATCAGAAGTAGACTTATCCCCCGATAGTTGTTACAGGAACGACGTCAACCTGTTATGGATGTTGAGGAATAATGTGCCAATCATTATCATGTTAAGTCTAATGATGTCCTTGGACGTTAAATGAACATTTCCTATTGGCCATTATTTATTTCACTCGTTAGATATTGTACAGATGTTGTTTTCTATTTTTATGGTACGATGTGGTCTGTTTGGTTAGTATATAAATAGAGTATGTCTGAAATATAATGATTCATAACTCAGAGGCTGTGACTTGCGTTCTAGACTCAACTGGTTGGGCTAGACAGGGAAGCGGGACCAATTGGGGCTCTAGGTCGTTCACTACGTGTTTTCCGTGTCACTGAATCGATCGATATAAACGCTGCTTATCATAACCTGCAGTCACCCGTTACAACAGAACCGTTTTTAAAGATAGGGACAACTATCGACTCATTCCATGACGTTGGTACACTCTCTAGTTCCCAAACCTTTGTAAACAACGTCGTCAGTCCCTTAGTCAGAAAGTCACCACCATCTTTAAAAAGAGTCGGAGGTAAGTCATCTGGGCCAGGTGATTTGTAGCGCTTCAAGAGTTGGAGTTCCTTGCGGACTTCCGCCTCATTTGGTGGATCAGTCGTCACCGGCCATGGAGGGCAGAACAGTCTGACTGATGTTGCCGGAGCAGCAGGCCAGTTGAACTGCCCTTCGAAAAATTCTGTCCATCGTCCAAGACGTCGATGGATGTTAGTGATTGGCATCCCATCATCCTCGCAGATTGTTTCACTCACACCAAACTTCTTGCTGCCAGTGGCTCGGATGAGTTGGAAGAGCTTCCGGTATTTACCAGATGCAGCTGCTGCTTCCAGCTCATTAGCACGCTTCGACCACCAGGCTTCTCGGTCCTTACACAAGCTTTGCCCAATTTCCTTACGTAACATCCTTCGTTTGTGGTCAAATAACGGTCACCCGAAGTAGACCGACGGGCTTCGATGAGTTGTAAGGAACCTGCAGAAACCCAGTGCTTGTAAGCGGGACGTTTCGCGAACCCACAACTGACTGTACCCGTCATTTTCATGGCGTCATGCAATTGCAACCAATGCTCATCTATACTTTTCGGTGGAATGGTAGCTAGCCGAGAAGCTAGCTCGGTTCGATATTTACTGGCAACAGAAGTTGCAACCAGCTTGCTAACATCAATCCGTTGGTGGCGGTCACTTCGTTGTCCACTGGAAAGCAAGGTAAGATTGGCGCAGATCAAGGCATGATCAGTGTCCAGATAGGTACTTCAAAAGGAGCGGCAGTCTTGTACACAACCACGCCAGCGGTAGCTGATCGCGATGTGATCAATCTGAGTCCAGGCTGGGGATGCAGAGGGAGGACGCCATGTGGCACATCGGCGACGACTGTGTCGAAAGTTAGTGCTAGCCATAAACGGGTTGTGGTCTGTGCACAGTTTCAGTAGACGGTCCCTGTTATCTGACCTGCGACCTACAAGTCCCCATCGGCCACCTAAACCACTCTCTTCTGTGCCTAGACGCCCGACCTGAGCATTCAAATCTCCGGCTAGTACTACAATATCTGTCGAACGCACTTTCTGGAGAAGAACAGATAGCTGGTGGTAAAACCCATCCTTGATTGCATCCGGGCTGCAATCTGTCAGGTCATAGGCGGAGATGACGAAAAGATATCGTTTCTCACGCCGATTTCTTCTCACTTTGATGGAACTTTCTAATCTAACAGCACATAACCGACTGTTAATGGGGATACCATCGATTAGTGGTGCCTCAGCTCTAGCGCTTAGTGCGACACCAACGCCAGCAATACCAGACGAAGATGCCACAGGGTCCCCGGGTAAGCGCACGTAAAACAAGCTTTTCGATGCGACAGATGGAGATCGAATTTGTAGTACTTCACCAGAGTCTTGAATACGGGTCTCGGATAGACAGCAGACATCGATAATAAGACTTTCCAAAGACATAGCCAGCCTTATCTGTTGTCCGACTTGCATAAGTGTGTGAACGTTGAAGGCAGCCAGTTTGAATGGTGCACGTGGTTTCAGAAAAACTGCTTCAGTACTCAAATTCGGTGGTAACACACAATTTTCAACCGGACAGTGACTCGAAAATGTTTAGATAGAGTCGAATTTCCACCAAAGACGAGCTGCTGTATAAGTCGAAAAAATAAGTATAGACAGAGTAGGAATAAAAGAGGGTGAATAATGTCGTAGTAAATAATAATAATAATAATAAATGATAATAGTAATAACAATAATAATGGTAATAATAATAGTAATGACAATAATTTGAATCATTTGTTTGTTATTCGAAGCGAGAAAAGTAGTTCCCATAGATATAGAGAGTTCATCATTTGCGTGTGGGCTGTGATACTGCCCGGGTGCCCAGATCGAAGCAGGTGGTTTACTTGGGGGTCCACATCCCGAGCCTTTGACCTAAAGGTCTAACCCACAAGGCAGTGGAGCATCGTAAGGAGATGCAGTCCCATGTTAGCCGGTGACCGAAAATGGGTTCATACGCCATTTGTTCCCTCAGGATACTGGAGCCCATGTGCACCATTGGTTTGGGATCTGGTTAGAGCGCTGGACATTCGCTTTTCGTCCTCTCATTTTCGTAAACAACACCCCCGCCACGAGAAGGCAATGAGTAGGACTTCCCTGGCAGAGGCTGTATATGCGTGGCCATGTGAGAGTATTTCGAGAGGGAGGGCAGACCAACCTCGCTCTCGGTCATACCAGGGCATTTGGGGACACAAACCATTGCCAAAAATCAATTTTCGGTGTAGATCTGTGAAATTTTTTGAGTTTCAATGACTAGTGAAGTTCAACGGTGTTGCGTGTGGGGCAGTTACCTGCCGAAGACAACGGAAGGTCACGTAATATCGTGGATTAATTGAAGTGAGACATTAAAATTGTTGAATGCCAGCCCAATGATCTAGATGTTAAGCTTTTGCCCCCGGAACCGAAGGTCCTGTGTTCGATGCCTTTTGGTACGGGGTCATGGATGTACACTGCTGAGAAGTCCCATCCTGAGAGGAAATGGCCGTCCAGTGTTTTCAGGTTTTCAATGGTGGCTTAACTTGGATTGGTTCTTGATTTCAGTAAAAATCAATTTTATAGCTCTCTTATTCTTCAGTAAACAAGGGTTTAGATTCTAGGTCTTATTCTAGCACGCTACATCCATTCACCATTAATATTTTACTTGTACTTGCTAGATGTCATTTTTACTAAATTTATATTGCGCGTCTGTGGTATAAAACTGACTTCTTATGTTATGGACCCCCAAAATCAGTTAATAATTAATAATGGCTCAGCTAATAGAAGACCAGTTTATCACATATAGGAGACAAAAAAGTTTAGTTGGTTGGATTTCATCCTAATCGACTATTATTTATGTAGAAGTATATCTGATAGTCAAATTAGTTTTAGAGAATAAATATGCCAAAAAGTTACATCTGTGACCGCGTACTCAAGAAGAGGGAAACGGAAGACAGATTTCTGTAGACATCTCTAATGTTCTTGCTGAAAATGTATTGTTCATTGATGTATACTATCCTACTTACTGTTTAATCTTGCTTGAAGTTGTGGGCGAGCTTTTAAACAGTGTTCTTTTGATTTTAGAATATAATTCTCACCATATGTTTATCAATAGAAAGTAACAACATACAAAAATTTACGTATATTTTTGATTGATTATATTGTTAAAAAGATTGACATATGCTTTGATATTTTATAGGCTGATATTATTAACCTCTCCCGAAAGTATGTCAAAGCTTTGGCCGAAACTCAGAATGTGGGTTTTGATGATCCTTACAGCGCAGAGTTGACGGGATATGGTATGTACTTTACTGTCAAGTCAGTAAATTGTTCTTTTATTAATTTAATCGTTAATCCAATAAATTCATGTTCGTAATACATTTAATAGGTTTTCATATTAGAATCATCATTATTTGACATATATCATCACCAAATCATGATAATATCTGATGTGTATGTAATAGTATTCCGTGGATTTAAGTTTCCCATATATAAAAACTTCCTTGTAAAATTTTCAGATACTATTCACACTATCATTCTTTCTTCCACCTGTTAAGAGATGATAAACCTTGTATGTTATAGAAAATTTGCGTCATCAATACGGTAGAGAAATCGATAACTCTCTTCTAGTATTCCTCTCAAAGTGAAAGAGTATTACCAAACCGCTGCCATCAGTCAGAACACTTTGAATCTACTGTACGTTCAGTGTAAATTCGTTATCTGAATACTAGGTATTTTATTTTTCTCAGTAATTTTATGAGCTGTGTATCGGATTCTTTCCAAAGGGAAACAGTTACTTAGAATTAACATTACAGATCATGGAAGAAGACAAGTGAAAAGAATTTACTTAATGTGCTTGTTTTTCCTCAATTTTATGATAGACTCAAATTTAGTCAAATGAAAGTTCCTCTGCAACATTCTACATCTCTTGTACGTCATTTAGTTTTCAGTAGAAAGTATAACCACTCTTTCTAATCAAATGAAATCCAATTTGACCTAGAAAAGGTCAGTAATAACTGTAAGACTTGCTTATAATTTTCCAAATTATCACGAATCACTTTCACTGGTTGACGGTTAGTTAACTTTCTCACTGTTAAAACAAAATACATTTTTAATGCTTAATTTATGGAGATCCATGAAACTAATAATTAAGATTTGATTGGTTGTTTTAAAATTGATCCTAGTGTGTAGTTACACTAGTCTTCAAATATTAGGTTGTGGTTCTACAAACAGTACACGAGTTTGTATTCAGCTATAAAGCAATGGAAAATATTTATAGCTGAGAGATCACGACAATTCCGAATATAAGGTTGTATCAATGAAATAGTTGAATTCTAAAGGACAGTTACTTTGTATTCCTTTCTATTTCAGTGGTTGTACGTTGATGTTTACTTCAAATGTAAAGATATTTTGTACCTTTTTTAAATTGACTAAATTTAATAGGTGATTAGTTTCATTTGATCTTTGGGCCACTTATATTTTTCTCCCTGTTTTCAGACTTAAAGAAAACATTGGCCGTTATTCTAGACGAAGTGCTACGTCGTATTGACCAGATAGAATCAAAACTCTCTAATTTAACGAACTCATCTCCTGAAGTAACTAGACATTATTCCGAATCTATAAACTCGGCACCATTTGTACCTCATACTGCTCGAGGTTTGAAAATGAATAATAATGAGAAATCAAACTACAAAAAGATTAACTATTTGGGTAAGCTCTCTTGATTACTTTATGAGTTTGTTTTTACTTTGTATGATACCTAAACCTATATTACAATTTGTGATATGTCTACTAAATAAACATATTTCCTGTTACTCCTCACGGAGGAACATAGGCCGCCCACTAACACTCCATCCAACACTGTCCTGGACAGTCCCTTCCATTTCCTACTCATCCTTTTCATGTCTGCTTCCGATTCTCGACTCATTATGTTCTTTAATCTTCCTCTTTTCCACTTCCCTTCAGGACTCCAAGTTAGGGCTTGCCTCGTGATGCAGTTTGATGATTTCGAAATGTATATCCTATCTACTTGCAGCATATTTTCCTAATTTCCCCCTCAGCTAGAAGTTGGTTTGTTCTCTTCTACGGCAGGCTGTTGCTGATGGTATCCGGCTAACGGACATTGAGTATCTTGTATAGACAACTGTTTAAAAATACTTGTACTTTTTTGGTGATAGCTGTAGTAGTTCTCCACGTTTCAGGTCCGTACAGTAGAACTGTTTTGATATTCATATTGAAGATTCTGACACTGATATTGGTTGGCAGTTGTTTTAAGTTCCATTTTTTCTTCAACCGTAGGAACGCTGCTCTAAACATACTTCCCGGTGGGAACATAAACCATTCTGAACAATGAATGAGCGATAACTAATTTTTTACCCATATTTTTAAAAAGAAAATAAATCACTGATGCATAAATTTCTACTCTAATTAAAGAACATGAGACATGCCAGGCTGAAATAGACAGATTAAAAAAGTTTAAGTACACCAGTGTAGGATATAACAGTTCATAATATCAATGGCTACTTGCCCCGTGCCATATAGGGAAGTGCGAACCTCCAAGTCGATATCCATGAAATGATCGCTATTACTCAGTGGTTTATTTGTCTTAAATGAGTTCAGTAAAAGTTTAATGTAACTGATTTTTTTTCGGTCTTTATAAAAAATGTATAGTCTGTAGTTTTCCAAAGTTTATTTTGAGTTATGTTTGTTTACTCATTGCTTTGATTTTTCAGATCTTCTACAAGATGCACAAGAAAACTGTGTTGTTCAAGCTAGAGAACTACCACTATACCCGGAATGTTTTTCAAAGATTGAAGTAAGTTTTGTAAATATGTTTCATTTTAATGAAATAATTCAAGTTGTTTATAGTTTTACAATTTGAAGTAATAAAACATGGTAGTAAGTAAAATTTTATATTATCAGTCATCCGGTTCGTTATAACAAAACAAATACTGCAGAAGTTTGAACTTGTTTTTTTTGGATTATTACTAATTATAATTTTGTTGTAACTAGATTACTATGTGTATATATATTCCACTTACCGGTCACTGATTTTTCGACTCATGGATAGGGCATAAATAGAGACTTATCAATAATGGACTAATAGGAACTTAGCTATTGACCCGAGTTTAATGGTGCTGAGTGGGTATTCAATTGGACAAGTCAGAGATACTAGGCGCGAAATAGACCGAACTAGAATCAGGATTCTATTTAGTGACTTGTCACGTGATATTCATCGGGGGTCCTCAAGACATAACACGCCTGCCTAGGGTAAAGCGGGGTTGGGACGGGTAAGTTTAACCTCGAGCTCAGTAGTTATAAACGTGACATCAAGGCCAGCAACAGAATTATTTTAAAAAAGACTTGCTTAGGAGTTTGAAGGTTAAGGATGTTTATGCTTGTCTACTGCTAAGATTGGATTCTTCAGATTGTTATTCTTTGATAAGTGGTGTTACTGTATTCTCTTAAAGATTGAGTTTCACAAACATAAATACTTTTCATATAATAATTTTTTCATATCTCTAATAAACTAAAGATAATTTTGAAAAAAAAACGGTGATTGTTTTCTTGTTTGCTTTTGTGTTGTTAAGTATTTAATTGGTAATGATTGATAATGTAGCTTATTTCATATCTTCCATTCTCAAAATGTTTCTTTTGGTTCATTAATTTACATTTGTTATGTCCTATGGTCCACCAAATATCATGTAACAAGATCGTCAGTCAGAACACCGACTAATATGACCTTGTCTTTGTGCTAAATCAATAATGCGTTAATCAGCACGAGCTGCCTTGAGTCAACTCGGAGTCCTTATTAGTCCTCTGTATAGTAGCTTCTCGCCTAATCCAGCCCATCCAGTCCGGAACGCAAATATCAACCTCCGCTATATGAATCTTATATTTCAGACATACTTGGTTTATATACAAGCAGTTTATACCGCATCGCACGATAAAATGAAAGATATTTATTATACAAGATCAGGTCAAAAGTGACTATGTGTGTGGGCTACTGTAACTGATAAATTGGGAATAAGTTAAGAATAGTGAATCGTATAACCGTGACCAATAAGTCAAATAGAAGCTTATGATAAGAGGTATATATATATATAATCTAGGTACTTAATAATTACCCAATCAGAATATATGTAATAGTAGTCCATAAATAATTTCTAGAAGTTGTAATTCATTTATTCTTCGTTCGGATATAACAACATTTCACTACAAATCTTCATTAAATCTACGTTGTAGTGTGTTGATATTTTAACATTTCAGTTGAAAGATGATGGGAAACTTTTGCTTTGTAATAAAGTTTGTTTTCACACTAGGCTTTATGTTCGTTTTGGTGAATTTCGTTATGTTCGATAGACAAAACAGTTGTACGAATCTATAGAATGATTTATTGGGCATTATATCCCATTAGTTTGTACACTGAACTTCAACAAATAAATTGAGTCTTGAACAACTCTTTTGATTTTATCTTTTAATAACGTTGACGTTTCAGTCTTTTTATTAAAAAGAAAGACTTGGCCCGAAAAGCTAATTTATTCTCTGGTTTCATAAACAAATATGGCAGCTTTTTAAGAATATCAAGTATCGATAAATCTATTACAATCATGAATAGAATTCAATAACGTGGTTGGACCTTTTTACTGGTAATTGTGTTACTTCATCAAATTCGGTTCTCTTCAGAAAATTAAACATACTATACCATCTCACGATAAATCGTTGCCCAATAACAATTACAAAGGCTTCAATTCGATGTCGAATGCTAAAGTAGTTCAGAAATTCAAGCTGGACTCCAGCGAATAAAATGCTAAGTGTACCTTCCATGAAAAAATATATGACATACGCTATTCTAAAACCCCTATAACATTGTAGATATTCTATCTTAGTACATGTGACTATTTACCATAGAATGCTTATTAGAGACAACTATATCCTTTTAATACTTGGGACAGTGTGTGTGTGTCGTCAATAATAATGTACATTAAAGTGAAATCACTTGTGATTATGCACTTTTCCATAAATTTTATGCTTTACGTTATTCACAACTCTATCACAGATATTCTGTCAAAATAATTTTATTACGACTCTCGTTTTGCATCAGCCCGATTATGTCTGTAAATTGGCGTACATTCTGTAGTCATTTTAAACATTTATTATTATAATAAAAGTTTCTACAACTGGTTAGTGTGTTCATCGTTTACATTTGATTCATTGCCTGTACGAAGTTCAGGAGTTTCACTGATGCATCTAGTCCATTGTCTTGTGTAATCGACCTCTTATCAGTCAAAAACCAGTGTATTTTCTAACTAATAACAAGTCTGATTTTCTCATTGTTATGTTTTGCAGCCGTTCTAGCCTACTACTGATATAAGTTCAAACCAGCCACTTGAACGAAGAGGAAGCTTTATTGACTAAATCTAGATCGACTCATTCATAAATGTATATCTTTTTCCCCTAGAAAATATAGCAACATTTTCAGAAATTGGTGGCCGTTGATTTGAAATAATCTCTAAGGTTATGTTTTGGTCTAATATATCACCTATCATACTATATGTCTCTCCATTCATTATTCGATTAAACGCCTCACAACTAGCATTCAACAGTTAGTCACGTTTTATTCACTTGGAACAGCAATTTGTACTCTTATTGTTAACCTTGTAGTTGTATTTCTTTGTGATACAAGCAATCTAACGAATTCAACAAAACCTTCATGTTCACTCATATACACTAGTCAATCGTTGATTGTTTACCATTTTCATTTTATGTGGTTGTTTGTACTAATCATATTTTACTGATCAAGTTACAATTTTGTCACCTGACTAAGTGGTGGCTCGGAGCGAGGATCTAATTGGTTGTTGATATTTGCAAACCAACCCTAGTTTGAGAGTTTTTTATTGGTTGTCTCTAACTCATCAAAGTTCAGTTACCCATTAATAAGATGATATTCTCCAAAAAAATAAATGATTAAATGGATACTATTTTCATTCTGCTTTGCTAGTGGTTGCGAACCCGTTGGGGAACTCACTCATGTTATGTTGAGTTAGGAATCGATGGATCAGAATGTTCACTTATCCGGTATCTTAGTGAAGTAAGTGTTATATTGGATAATTTTGTCTCTGAATTTAAAGAGCATGGATTTATTTTTTACAAAATTTGTCTTAACGCCGTACTTCGCTTAATTCTTCCGAAAGTGAATTGAGAGCAAACCATATGTTCACTCCAACAAAAAATCCGTAAAAGCGTTAGAGTTATCATCAAATTTACATGAGAATTTCAAAGCATCTTGATTTGTCTACTAGGGCTAATTAGTCGAAAATAGACTAACCGATGTATTTAAATTTAGGGTTGATCAGAGCCTGTGATAGTTTGTCTCAACAATGTCTACAATCATCCGGACTATTTTCAACAGCCAACCAACTAAACAGTAATCATGTACTCATTAATAACTAACTTCATAATAAACTCTAGACATCTTAGTGGGAAATCATAATTAATAGAGTTGAACTATAGAGTGGGTATGTCGAAAGTATCATTGATGATATTGAATAATCATAATACCACATCAATAATTGATGGAAGTTAGAAATTTGGACTACTAGATTTTAACTCAACTGCTTAAAAGTAATGTGATCTCCGTGAGGTTAGGTGTGTTCGACTCCTTTTAGAGTCAGGATTGGTGGACATGACGTATGGTTCCCAAGCCAGGACGGAACAATTACTAAGTGTTTGCCGACAAGCAAATAGATGTAAATTCAACATACAAATTATTTGGAAGAGTATATATATATATATATATATATTATCAATATGTGGTTGTAGAGTTTGTTGTTTCATTGAAACCATAAACCGATCAATGTTAGATCACCATTGAAAAACCGGAAGCACTGGACGATCGTTTTGTCTCAGTATATGACTTCACAGCAGTGCGCATCCACGGCCACCATTGAGGTTAGACACTAACATCGCTGGACGTCGGCTCATTGGTCTAGAGTTTAGGTGTCTGCACGCGAAACCGAAGGTCCTGGGTTTGGTGTTTTTTGGTACGGGGTCGTGGATGCACACTGCTGAGGAGTCCCATACTGCGAGGAAATGGCTGTCCAGTGCTTCCAGGTTTTCAATGGTGATCCAATATATATATATATATATATATATATATATATATATATATATATATATATATAACGCTTTGGATAAATCGAAAATATTTCGCTTGGGACTTTTTTTGCCAGTACCTGTCGTCTAAATAAGCCACGACTTAAGGTTTAACTGAATGAAATAATCAAGTTCCTGTAACTCTGTAAATTAAAGTCAGACGATTCAATAATAAATCTGAACTGTTCATTGTTTTATCTGCTTAATTTTAGCAATTATATTTCCGACTGAAAATGTGGTTATTTCATTTGTAAGTTGTTTGAGTCTTTCCGTTGTTGGTGTTAATTACTGTAACTGGTTAATTCCAAGTAAAACGAAGCACGTATCTTGGATTCTGTTGCTAGGTACTATCCAAGTTTGCTTCAAAATGGGATTGTCTTAAAATTTATTTCATGCAATTGGTTCCCTTTATTTATTTAAAATTTATTATCAAGACTTTTCGTATATCATTAACATAGACTATAGTGTTTCAGTTATAAAAACATATTTTTGCAGGAACTAATTTACTGGTATTCTATCCATTTGATATCTATTTTTTAAAACGTTAAGAAGAATTCGAAAGCAGTTAGATTTCTCATTGTTTTTGAATTGAAATGTTTCATTTTCAATCATCACTTTTGAGTTTCTAAGGGTTTTTTCATCTAATCTCTTATACCTCGTTTCTTTTCGAAATAGGTTGAAAGTTTCTGTCCACGATTGGATAGCAGAAAATTTCTGAAACGTCATAGTGAAGCTCAGGTATGAATAGTGTACATATAGATGTATTATTATTTCTGTGACTATTGTTAATGAACCAATAAATCCATTGTTTTCACAGTTGGGTGTGTTTGTAGATACTTTTATTCAGTAAAATCATGTCATGTCTTCATAAAGCTGTATTGATAACATTAGCTCTTTCACCAACAGGAAATCAGGCTATGTTCTAAGCTACACGATTATATGGTATAATCCTAGTCTTTTATGTACTGTAAAACATTAATTATTCTCAGATAATCGCTACTATTTAGAAATTCCGAGTCGTCATAGAGCATTTCTTTCATTACGACAAATATTTGTTCGTCTTACTACTGATATCATATCCACCATCTTCAATTTTTGCAGGCAATGATAATTACACAAGTTTATGGTGTTATGGCTTTCTTTTTTTGCAAAAACCCTGTCGCCAATTTTTATGGCTTATGGTCTGTCAATTCTTACGTGATAAGATCACCAATCAAAACACGACTTATACAATCCTAGTACTGTGCCAGCCCAATGACATATCGACCGGTATGATCAGTCTAGAGTCCTTTTTGGTCCTTCTCGTCTAGTCCTGTCTGTTGATACCAGAACACCGATATCAGCTTCCACCATACAAATCATATATTTCAGATATACTTGGTTTATATACAAGTGAATAAGACCACATCATACCATAAAATTGGAAAATAACAATTTTACAGGATCAAGTCAAGAAGTGGCCGTGATTGTGAAAGGCTGTAACCGATAAATTGGGAGTGACTTAAAATCTCCGAAAAATCCCCATTATATTAAGAATAGTAAGTCGTATAACAGTAACCAATAGGTCAAATAAAAGCTTATGATAAAAGGAATACAAATATATGCAAATTAGTTACTTAAATTATATATATATGTTGTGAGGGAATGACTGCTGAGATAAACCGTTCGGCAATTCTATGTCCTTAATTGTTTATAACTTACGAACTGAGGCTTAATATATATATATATATATATATATATATATATATATATATATATATTTGGTCATTGATAAAAAATTAAATATTATTATTAAGGTCAAGCTTTGTTCCTGAACACATATAAACACAACTTGTTCATTAGGCATGGTATGTGCATAAAGCATACATTTATGCCAAATTGAAAGTTGTAACTGCCAGTTGTGCATTCATCGAATTATGTCATCTATACCTGCATTTGATGTGATATAGTTTTAAGTATTCAATTTTCATCTATATCTATGACATTTTATCAGGTTGATCTGGAAATATTGATAACACTTAGTGAGGATTCTTGAGTTGAGGTTATGAAGTTGTATTTTTTGTGAAGCTGGATGTTTATAGACATAAAGGTCTTGTGTCACACAGACTTATACATCTCGCTTAATGTGATACTTTGAATATGTTTGATGAGCTTTTTACTAAACAATCTTTTGTAAAACCTATTGTTAATTTCTGCCTTGAAATAAGTGTCTTGAATTGATGAAAACAAAGACGAAAACTTCATATATGGTTGATAATACTTCAAAATAGTTTGAACATTATTACTATTTTGCATAGTTTATTAGTTTCAAATAGGCAGAAAAAGAATGATTGTTTATTTTGTAAAATTCCACACCAATCTTGATTGACTCGTATCGGTGAGACTAATTTATGGACGACCTTTGAGCGACGCTAAAGTGACTCTTAGAATGTTCACCTATTTATTAGTGCTAAATGAGGGTTATAAAACAATGTGAAGAATAAGGATCATGATTTACAATTGATGGCTAGGGTTAGAAATAATGCCAAAACGTTATTTGGACAAATGGTAAATGAATTTTGCTCTAAAATCCGAGACCCGTTATCCTAAATTTGATTGGTTCGTCCATAAATTATAGTCTCGCCCTGTTGATTGTTTTTATAACGGCTATTTATTTTGTATATACTTTTTCTTAGATAACTCGAGATCTTAATGGTTTGCTTGGCATATTATCCTTAGCTAAAAATCATTTATTATCGAAATCGTTTATGACTACACGGCTAAAACGTATGTGGCCTGATTGGTTAGCAGGAATTCAACATTATATAAATGGAGTTAATTTTTCACAAGCTGATCATTCATCATTGGATCAGTGTAAATTTTGTTCGCCTGATGATATAGCTTGTGCAGATATTTGTCAGTCTACCAAACTAATAGGTCAGCCGTTTTTATTTGGAAGACCGAAGCTCAATGTGAGTGTGCGTTTTGTGCAGTTATTGCAATACTTCTGCATATATATATATATATATATATATATATATATATATATATATATATATATATATATATATATATAACTATTATAACTAAGGTACTGGCCTGTCCAGTCTAACTTTCTAAAAATGGATTGTTTTATTGAACGAATTTCTCTTCTACTTATAAGTGTGTCAAAGAAAGGAAGCTGGTTGTTCCTCTTTCCATATGAAAGACTGATTTGAGTTTAGTGTGTTAGGTTTATTCAATAAACAAGTTATATCCTCCTTTCTTTCATAGACAAATGTCCTGACCGTAGCTTCTACCTTGGCGTGGTGGTCGGGCTTGCCTATCGTGATGACCCAATCGAGCTATATTGGCTGGAACATATGTTTCTGTAGGTTCTACCTTGCCAGACAAGTCGATTGGAGAACGGTAAGACTAGAAGTAGCCACTCAATGTCGGAGGGCGAAGGCATACTGCTGACTGTAGAGGGGTGTGACAGCAGTAATGTGTTCCTCTTTGACAACCATCATCTACAGTGATGCCGTGTTCTCACAAGGAAGGAAGGAGTTAGTAAAGGTCGACCCCAAAAATGTCACGCCTCACCTTGCCTCACGGATTTCTGTCTCCGGCGGTAAGGCACTTTGAAGAACGGAGCTAACACGTTAAAACCTCCCACAAAAAGGCCGTGCGACCGGCCTCAAACAGTTGTCCCTTTGGCTCTGCAGTCACGCTCCCAGATTGTTAAGGCCAACATTAATCCAACTTCCTTTTCAGATTCCTCAAGAAATATCCTTTCACGATGTGGGCAGCCGGGAAGTGACATCAGCCCTCATACCTGTAACAACACACGAGACCAAGTTGGTCACATTCAAATCCTTCCTACACCTCCTAATAACTCTTATCTTCACGACTAATCCTTCTCACGTCCCTTTATTACCTCGCGTCGCTAATGCAAACGATTCGAGTACGCGGAACGCTATTCCTGGTCTCCTGAAACCACGCTCTAAACTACACATAGGAGCTTTTAACGTCCGAACACTGTGCCAAATAGGACAGCAGGCTTCCTTAGCTAGGATTTTAGAATCCCGCGCCATCGATGTGTGCTGCGTCTCCGAAACGCGCATACAGGATCCAAGTAGCGTCATTCATTTGACCTCACCATGTCAAAATAAAGAACCGACTCGATTCACACTTCGTGTATCTGGAAGCCCTGATTCTGCTTCCCGTGGCCTCGCTGGCGTAGCTATAGCATTGAGTCCTAGGGCAGAACTAGCTCTTAGAGTGGATCCCAGTAGACAGCCGTTTGTGCGCTGTCCGAATAAACGGAACAATAAGGACTCGGGAAGATAGCGACACTCGTCGTTGCCTCTTCGTCGTCTCTGCCTATTCTCCCACTGACTGCAGCTCAGATGATGCAAAAGATGAGTTTTACAGAAAGCTTTCGGACCTTCTCCGTAAAGCTAGGCGCTCTGATATAGTAATAGTGGCCGGTGACTTTAATGCTCAAGTAGGTAAACTAAGCGATAGGGAAAGACACCTAGGTGGATCTTATGGTGTCGTGGCTCAAAGAACAGATAATGGCGACCGTCTGTTGCAGCTATGCTCAGATAACCGCCTGTTCCTTGCAAATACTAACTTCAAGCATAAGGAAAGACATCTTTTAACACGGCGACCCCCTAATTCATCCCAACGTTGAACCCAACTAGATCACATCGCTATCAGCCACCGATGGATGGGCTCGATAGAAGACTGTCGCTCATTCTGGAGCACATGCTTAGATTCAGATCATGCTCTAGTACGAGCGCGTATCTGTCTACGTCTTACTGGACGTAGGAAAGACGCTGCAAGTAAACCTTTTGGGGCCCTACTTAATGATAGTCAAGCTAAGAGTATATTTCAGGAACAACTAGAAAAACAGTTAGGCAGCCATGTATGTGATGCCCATCCCGATGCAGCGTGGGATGATATCACAAAAGCTGTGGAAACAGCAGTGATATCTGCTAGTAGGGTGAACCATCCGGCTCTGAACATGACGAAGAGCGGAGTCAGCTTAAGCGCAGGCTGATAAGAAGCCTACGCACCGATCGCGAACAGTGGTGAGTGGCGAAAGCAAGAGAGATGGAAAAGGCAGTGGCAATAGGCAATAGCAGACAACTGTTCAGACTTTTCAAGGAAACCGGTATTAGGAACCCAACTGTTAGCGAAACAATCTCAGAGAAAGATGGACATATAATATTCATTCTTAATCCAGGAGATTGGGTCGATGGGCAGAACACTTTAGGGATCAGTTCAACTGGCCTTCAGCCACACTTTGGTTTCCCATGATCTCCAGTCGACCTGAATGGCAAGTTGATGTAAGTCTATTTAAATACAAACATTGGTACAAGGAGGCACCAAATATATTACTCTACACTTCCTCATTCGATTTGTGTAAGGGCTGGAGCACTGCACTAGCACTCGAACGAAAAAAAGGTAGTTTTCTTAGGGAACCACACTCCGAGCCTTTGACCTAAAGGTCTAATCCACAAGGCAAAGGAACAACGCTCAGAGGTGCAGTCCCATCCATGGTAGCCAGTAACCAACAATAGGTTCATACGCCATTTGTTCCCTAAGGATTCTAGAGCCCATGTGCACCATCGGTTTGAAATCAGGGTTTTCCAACTCCCCTAGGTGGACCTCCGTGTCCACCAACCCGGTTGACGCGCTGGATATTCGCTTTGACACATCTCAATTTTGTAAACAATACCCCCTCCGCGAGAAGGCAGTGAATAGGACTTACCTGGCAGTGGCTGTATACGCGAGGTCATGTGGGAGCATTTCGAGAGGGAGAGTGGAATCTCCCCACCCCCGACCGTACCAGGGCATTCGATAGCTAGTCATAGACAGAGTAGAGCCTGGTACATAAGTGCATCGACTCAAGGCATCACACCACCACACTGATGACATAGTAGTAAACGTGGTAACAGTATTAGTGGTAATAGGAAGTATTAGGCATAGAACATGTGAATTTAGAAAATACAGATTCATGAAACAGAAAAACATTTTAAAATAATTTACAAACTTAAGATTTAAATGAGCTCAAGAAATGAGTGCACATGTTCCAATGGGAAAGTTTCCATGTTATTTCATCCAAGGTTTCTAACCAATGGTTAAGATGATCATGCGAACCTCAACTGGAGAGTCCGAACCTACCTATGCAGCTCAGTCCAACCTCCATCGACTTCATGGACTGATACCAAGTTTTGGTTTGGTCACCCCTACCTTACACCAACCTGCTCGTCACGAGTCAATCTTTCCTTATGTCAGACACTCTACATAGTATGACGGAATACAATAGTTTGGACGCGATCTGAATTAGACTTATCCCCTGATAATTGTTGCAGAAACGACATGAACGCGTTTTAAAGAGAGGGACGTCTATCGACTCAGTCCAATATTTTGGATCGCTTTCTAATTACCATGCCTTTGTAAATAACTCGGTCAGTTCCTTAACCAGGAAGTCACCATCATCTTTAAAAAGGGCCGGAAGTAAGTCATCTGGGTTCGGTGATTTGTAGCACTTCAAAATTCATAGTTCCTCGTGGACCTCCTTGTTAGGTGGATCAGTTGTCACAGGCCGTGGAGGGTTGTACAGTCCGACTGATGTTGCCGGGGCAGCAGACCTGTTAAACTGCTCTTCGAAAAACTTTGCCTATCGTCCACGACGCTGATAGATTTTAGTGATTGGCATCCCTTCATTTTCACAGATCGTTTCACTCATACCAGACCTCTTACTGCCAGTGGCCAGTATAAGTTGAAAGGGCTTCTGGCAGTTGCAAGGTTCAGCTGCTGCTTCCACGCTCCGACCACTAGGCTTGTCGGTCCGTACGCTGGCTTTTCCAAGTTTCATTGCGCAACAGTCGTCGTTTGTGATCAAAATCACGGCCACCCGGAGTGGATAGACAGGCTTCAATGAGTTGTTAAAAGCCTGAAGAAACCCAGTGCTTATCAGCGGGACGTTTCGCGAACCCACAACTGACTGTATCCGCCATTTTCATGACGTCATGCAATTGCAACCAATGCTCATCTATACTTTTCGGTAGGTTGGTATCTAACCTTGAACCTAGCTCGGTTCGATATTTACTGGCAACAGGAGCTGCAACCAATTTACTGATATCGATCCGTTTGGGACGATATATTTGTTGGCCACGGAAAAGTAAGGTAAGATTAGCGCAAACAACGGCATGATCAGAGTCGAGATAGGTACTCCAAAAGGAGCGGTGGTCTTGTAGCTGATCGCTATGTGATCAATCTGAGTCCAGGCTTGAGATGCAGAGGGAGGACTCTAGGTGGCACATCGGCAATGGTTGTGCCGGTAGTTAGTGCTAGCCAGAAACATGTTGTGGTCTGTGCACAGTTTCAGTAGACGGTCCCTGTTATCTGATCTGCCACCAACAAGTCCCCATAGGCCACCCAAACGACTTTCTCTCTGTATTTATTTAGCTCATGTTACGCGTGATTATCTATGTTTTGTGTTTTATTTATTTTCAAATATGCAGGAATAAATGAACGGATCCTACCTATAAATATATATTTATCTTTCAATTCACTTGATATCATTTGCGTTTATTTTAAATAGATTCTACTTCATATGGGATTTTTATCGAATGATTTTTATAAGAATTCTTTCGAATCATATATCTCTAAAGGTAACTACTTATATTTGTTATTATTTTTTAGAAAAAAATTATTTGTAATTTTGAAATCAATGAAGATGTGATCAATTGATTTGTTATTCAGTTATTGTATTTCTTACATGATTTCTACCTATCTTTACATCCACTTATCGAAGTTGATTCACACATCTCATTAATGACGTGAATAGTGAATAAGTAATTTGTGATTTCAAGAAAAAAAGTTTTTCAAATCTTTCGGTAAATAATAAAACCGGCTCCTTTTAAGAAATTTAAAGCAATTAGTCCCTTTGATAAATTTTGATAATGTAATAAGAAGAAGATTATCAGAACTATGTGTATTCAAAAACAGTTTGTTGTCACCTTAAACCTACCCTGGTAATATTGACTTATTATCCAGATTGATTAGGTTTCAAATTGTGTTCATTGTTTTTATTATTATCCTTGTCTCCTCTTACCCCATTTCCAGTCTAGTTGACCTTTTATTTTTATATATAAATGTTCTTAACAAGTATATGGATGATCAGATTGTTCGAAATGTATTGCGCCAATATATCACGTCGTTCTGATAATCTTCGTCTTCTTATTACATTATCGAAAACCGACTCCGGTTAGGGGAAATCACCAAGTTTTTCTCAATGGTAATTTCATATCTATTAGTTACTCATGACAATAGTTTAATTGTAGGTTAAATCTATCCCATTTGTAATATCAACCAAGAGATTTTGTATTTCTATATTTTCAAAAATAATAACGAACATAAGTGATTATATTTATATATGTATATTATTTAAATTCGATGTATACACTTACTAAAAGAGCAAAATTTAGTCACATTTCCTTATCCATTTTCATACAATTCCAGGTGGTCCCCTTGGTGAACTTGTTCAATGGACTGATCTCATAGGTGCCCTCTATATTCTTGGACACAACATAACAATTACTTTTGAAGCTGTTGAAGCAAAATTGTAAGATTATGTTTTCTGAAAGTGAAGTTATTTTTTTATACAGTGAATATGTCTGTACACGCGCAATTTCACAGTACTCTTAGATTTATCTTATACATTTCCAAATTTTCTATGTAACATATAGTCGTGCTGATAATAACAATAATAGCTTATTTTAACACCATTTGTTTAATTATAATGAAGCTTATTCAGCAATAGTTTTCCGTCCATTTTTACATACAACTTAGTAATAATCAGAAAAGTTATTAAAATGTTTTTTTTTGTCATCAATAATTAGCTTCTATTAATCCTTATCTACTAATATTTTTCAATAGTTTTACTCCTTTGACGTACCTTTTTCATCGTATAACTTACTTAACTAGCAATTTTGACTAATGTTTCTCTGAAGGAAGACATGAAGGAGGATACATTAGTCACTGTTGTTGTTCCACTTGTAATTATGAAGTAATTAAGCTTCGTGTAAAGTTATAAGCATTATAAAGAAGATATGTATATTTGCATTTAAAATACACAATAAGTCGATTGACATAATTATTAAACAGATAATTATTGTGATATATTCGTAGTTGACAAATTTATAGTCATGGAGTTTAAGCAGTTCATCATTATTTAATAGTTTACGTTCATCAACTTGATCAACACAATGAACTAAAATTTCTCTATACATTTTAGAATACTGTGTTTGGTAGGTAATGCAAGTTATCATTTATAGACAATAAATTTCATTATAAACTTTTTAGATTATTTTTCAAAGTGTGGAATACTGTTGAACTTGATATACGTAAATTATATATATATATATATATATATATATATATATATATATATATATATATATATATATATATATATATTGCTGAAGTTTTAACTTGGAAAATTTGCATCTATCATTTTTGACGATATAGGTGCTTACTAGATGGTATGACATTACGACATGGTGAACCTCATTGCTTCCGGGCCATGTACATTTCGTGAGATAAACAATTACCTACATTGAAAGTTATGAAAATTATGCGTTAAGTGATATATTAAATAATCAGTTTTTATTTTTCAAAATCTGTGTAATTGATTAAAGAATGCATTAGGCATACAAACGTTATTAATTAATCATAATCATTATATAGCCTGAAACAAATGTGCATTACTATTAGTTGTCATACCAGATTAACGTGACGAGATGAAATTAACAACGTAATTCGTAGATAAGTCGAAATAATGAAGTGAAAATGGCAATTAAAAGAACTAGATATTCAGAACATGGTTCAAAAAGACAATGAAAAGTATCTATGGTAGAACACTGGAACTTAAGATCTGGGGAAAAATAAAAGGTGAATGCACCTGCGTCATCTTAATTAACTCTGAGCCAACTACTGATCATGGTTAACTCACAGATTCGAAACAGGTAGTCTATATCTACCATCATGACTCAGTTAAACATTTAGTGACTTCATGGATTGATTCCATGTCTTGGTTTGGCTGCACTTAGGTTTCTTCCAACATAGTACTTCACCAGCTGGCATTGTTTTTCCAAGCAGGGGTGGTTCAGTATACACAAAATATGTACTAGACATCTCCGTTGATTAAGATTCATTACCTCGCCAACCAATTTACTATCTCTACTTGGTACTATGCATCTAGACTCTATATTTCTGGCTTCGTTTTCATGCAGTGCGGCGGCAACACTTTGAGGACGCTTGCTATCAAAAGCCTGTAACATATACGTGTCTTCTATTTCATAGATGATGTTCTACACCCGTTTGGTAATAGAGTCTATCTCTGGCCAGTACACTAGCAGTTCAGTTAACAGATGGACATATCGCTTATGTCACAAGAAACATAAATCGCCAAATACCAACCAAGCTTCCATCAGAAATCAACTCACTCGAGGTGACGTGATTCCCTAGAAGAAGTAAGTAGTCAACTCGTACAGTTATTTCGCTTCCTATGACCAATCTTAGAGTTGACATAAACCAGTCCCAAAACAATATTTCTCACTTAGACGAAGAAAAATTCAGACACATACGCTACATTGTAATTTGACTGAAATCTTAAAAATGCCTATTAGTTTCCTCCCCTATTCAGTGAATTTTCTATCCACATTGATTTATGTTTGCTAGGAACCCATATTAATTAATTTCTTTCTACTTGTTTTTCTTTATTCTCTCAATTAAAATTAATAGAAAATTGTTACATCCCTACTCAAATTCCATACCTTGTCAGGTAGAAAATAATAAATACGATTTAATATACACGGATATTATAGGATTTAGAAATTTGAAAGGAATGAACATCCGGTTAGTTTATAGATTTACGTTTAATGAAAAATATTGTATAACTTAAATTAAATTTCACCATTTTGTACATAATTTATGAAATAAATTGAAGTATGCTTCACTTATTTTCTATCCTGTTAAATAAATGAAATTGTTTCAATGTCTCTAGATGAAGTTTTATGCGTAACTTCTGTGTTACAGTTTATTCTACTGTCGTGTACTACAGTTAAACTATTTTATATATTTTTCTATTGACAATCAGCTCTTCATCTCAATAACAATGAAGCTATCTTATATTTGTTATGTGAAAATGTTAATTTCTAACTAAATCAATAAAACCCTCTTAAACAACTTTATTTCATATAATTTCTACATTGTATTATTTCTGTATACTTCTTGTTTTAAAATGCACGGAATAATAATAATATCAATAGTCATTGAGAACAAGAAATAGTCTAATTAGTAATCGGTATTCATCTTATTTAAGAGTTAATCATCTTGAGTTTGAAGAAGAAAAATTATTAGCAACTTTCATTACTGAAAATGAAGTATTTTTATTATGTAAGAACAAAGATTCTAGCAGAATATTATAAATTCATTTTAGTTCGTTTGGTTACCTGTCATCTGCTTACTATCTGTGATATTTAAAAATCATAATTACAAAATGGGTTTAAATTACTTATGTGAGAGACTTTAGTTGGGAGTTATTTTGAAGACACATCAGTATAGTATAGAAAGAGTGTAAATAAATTCAATAGATTGAATATTGTAAATATATACTTCCTTACGCCTGTTACTCTTCGTGAAGGATCATAGGCCGCTCACCAGCATTCTCCACCCAACCCTGTCCTGGACAATTCTTTCCAGTTGTTATCCATCTTTTTCATATTTGCTTCTATTTCCTGACGTAATGTGTTCTTTGGCCTTCTCTTTTCCGCTTCCCTCCAGGATTCCAAGTTAGGGCTTGCCTCGTGATGTAGTTTGATGATTTGCGTAATGTATATCCTATTTACTTGCAGCATATTTTCCTAATTCCCCCTACAGCTAAAAGTTTGTTTGTTCTCTCCCACAGTAGGCTGTTGCTGATGGTATCTCGTATAGACAACTGTTTAGAAATACTTGTACTCTTTTGGTGATAGCTGTAGTAGTTCTCCAAGTTTTAGCTCCGTACAGTAGAACTGTTTTGATATTCATATTGAAGATTCTGACTTTGATATTGATTGTAAGTTGTTTTGAGTTCCATATATTCTTCAAATGTAGGAATGCGGCGCTTGCTTTGCTAATCCTCGCCCTTACGTCTGCACCTGATCCTCTTTGTTCATCGATGATGCTCCACAGGTGTGTGAAGGATTCTACATCTTCCAGAGTTTCGCACTGTTAAGGAGTCCCACAATAGGACGAAACGACCGTCCAGTGCTTCCAAGTTTTCCATGGTGGTCTAGCTTCAATGGACTCATGATCTCAACAATTGAAATTACTAAAATCTCCACAAAACCCCCTTCTGATATTAAAATGAGAATCATCAAATACATAATTGTGTTGCTAAAAATGACATCAATTTCTGTCAATATAACGATGCATTTGAAATAAACAGGTTGAATAAAGAATGGGTCCAATTTCTTGTTAATAAATATTTGCCAAGTAATTGATAGTTGAATACCATCCTTTTGGTTCAGGCTATTCTTGTTCGCCCATATATACAGCGTTTCTGCTGTCAATCTTTCTTTATGAGTATTAAAACCTTTCTGAAGTATTTTGATCCCTTAAAAATTAATCTTGTGTCTTGTTTCCAACGTATCTCGGACTTATTCCCAAGTTTCTTTAGGTCGACCGAGGATTTGGGAACATTTTCAAACAGTTTGTTTTCCTTCAACCTTACATTCAATTGTCTAGAAGTTTCTCCCCCATAAGCTGCATTACAATCATGGCAGTTGGTCTCATAGACAATATTTTGTTGTTCTTTCTTTGGAAACCTATCCTTAACTTTCACTAACGTCGATCTTATTGTGTCACAAGCCCGAAAATACACTCCTATATCATACTTGTTTCGAATCTTCTTGATTTCTTCCGATGTTCCACTACGGTATGGGATGACTACGATGAACTTCCAGTCTTTCGGTATACATTCTAGTTTAATTTTTCTTTCATTTCTAATAATTTTTATAAACTTTGGGGTGTTTGTTATCCTTAAGTGTAGACAAAACTCTATTCAATTCAACCTGTTGGTCTTCCTTATTTGTGTAATATAAGATCAAAAGAAATCAAGAGGATTCTAAGCAAGCGTGTTATAAGAGTGTATTTTCGGGCTTCAGATTTTCGACATGTTTGATGATGATTGGCATGTATAATCACTAAATTTTATTCATTTTTGTTAGTTAATTTTTTTCATTGTCTTCCTCTTCTCTTTCTTCTATGATTTACTTATTGTTGTTCTAAGGAATAGTTAAAAGTGAATTTCGAAAATCAATTTTAGTTCTATCGGTGACTATTTAGGTATGTTTGTATGTGGCTATTTTTAAATCTGTTTTCGCTTTCGTTATGACATGAAATGGACATGATCGTTTAAACTACTTGATTAATTTAACCAACTCTGATTAAATGAGTCTTATTTGTTACTAAAACTAACTATTTCCTGTTGTCTATATTTTCGGTACTTAAGTGATATGTTTTAATCAGGGTTCTCCTGCACTGGTGATGCTTTTGCATTCCGAGTGGTCTTATCTACAGTTTATGACTAGCAATAAATTTCACATTAGAATAAAGAACGATCACTGAATGACAGAGTAATGGTTTAATGGTTTTCTGGTGGATGTAAATTTAAGATAAAAGCCACTTTCAACTGTCAGTTTGCTTGTTATTTTAAAGTTTATAAAACCACTGACCCTATTAGGTTTATCAAACTTTTATATACAATAAATGCATAATAAAAATCCATTTTGTATCGTGTTTTCTCCAAATTAAGGACTCCATTATGTAAATTTCGTATATTGGATACATTTGGAACAGAAGCTCTTTATAATCGTAAAAAAGAACTTTGGAGTGGATTACATTTGAATTTACAACAATTCTATACATTTTTCCGTAAGTTATCCATTATTTCACATTTTAGTGGAATTTTGTTCTTTGAGTTGGATGGTTTAGTCACGACCAAAGACATTCAGACAACAAAGATGGGTTAAATAAAATAAAAATAATGCGTTTGTAGAACTAAAGATTTTGAAGTCCCTTCTTCAGAATATACCAATCAATTTCAACAGTACTCTTAATTATGACCATATTCATTAGTTTTCCTTCGGTTCTTTTATTATTATTTTGTCTTAATTCATGCTCGATTTCATTCACTACATATTTCTGCTATAATATGTTATTTCAGCCTACACATTCTCAACAATAATTGAGTGTTATTACTTTTTGGAAATTCATTTAATTCACTCTGATTTGTACATTTTTGTAGTTGTTATTGTTTCCTTGTTTTGATACTTCTAGCTCATTCACCGGATAATACATTTCTGGGTTTTGTTGCTGAAATACTTCCACCCAAATCTAAATTCTCTCATCAATCATCATTTAAACCTGTTGCTCTTGTCTACGGAAAAGAGGCTTATATGTGGTCTGTAAGTTCCCTTACATATTAGAATAACCAATAAATTATGTGTGGGGTAGTCAAGTTGTTGAGTTTTTAGATGTGAATTTCTTCCATTGTAATTATATTTAAATTAAAATCATTCATTATACATGAACAATGCTTCAACGACACCTATGGTCAAATTACCTGTAATTTGTTTTAGGGATTTAGCCATATGTATGAAATAGTCAAAAAGATTTTAAGCTAAAGCGGGATGATTTTGGTGAAAATGTTTTTGAACTAGGCAGTTTTATCATAAAGCTTTCATTATCTACCTTGACTATACATCATTAGCAAAATATCCCTATAGAAATGAGCTATTCGAATTTATCCACACGTAATCAACAGCTTGTTTCGCTAACATTCAGTTTAATTGGTTGTTGTCATCATTTGTCCTGTAATTGTCTGCATGTGTATATATACGTTGGTTGTCCTACATTTTGACCTAGTTTTCGACCTTATATCTGGTCGATCAAATTAATTTTGGTGGCTTGTAAGCTTAACCTATTTCAAACAGTCTCAATTAACTAATTGAGAATTCAACATGCCCTTCGTTTATTATTATTCGTTTGTTGATATCCCTATTTTTATTTCGTGAATTTTGATGAGTTTGATATATGGATAGTCATTCTTTAGAAAAACCATCACTAGGTATTCTTCAATTCTGTATGTGTAGATGGATGTTGCAGTGTTTTCGTTCTTTTGAAATAACATTTGTAAGAAGTTGATCTTTGATAAAGGGAATAAAAAGACCAGATAATTTTTAGAAGTTTGGTTTTCAGATCAGTCAGCACCTAATAAAATATGACGAAATCGACTTCATGTATCAACCAATTAAAAAAGTCATAAATCATTATAAGGCCAAAAACTAGGTCAACATATGCCAAAATATCCCACCCCCGTCTCCAAATTTGCTGTTTGAAGCGATTACGAGTTCGCCTAATCTGAGAACGGAACGAAGACTCTGTGACACTACGACAGATAAGCTAGCTGTTTCGACGCGTCCCAGCTCCGCTTACTAGAGAGAGAAGTCCAAGTTCGAGAGAGGTAAATATATTCCACAAGCCGTCAGAAGCACGAACAACCACGACGAGTCTAGTCGGAATCACACTCATTTATATATTGATTCATGCACTCATTTTTGATTAATAATTAGAACAAAATCACATATATAAAAAAATACTTCGTTACAACAAATCATATGCTGAGTATAGTTCATGTTAACTTAATATCACAGAGTAAAATGTCATACGGGAAATCAGTAACAAATACTGTACTGAGTAGTCATCACATTGAATTAAAACGGAATTAATGTTGAATAAGAACTAGGTCAACATACGCAGACAACTATAGGACAATTGATGACAACAACCAATCCAACTGAATGTTGGCGAAACAAGCTGTTGATTATGTGTGGTCAAATGCGAATAGCTCACTTCTCTCGGAATATTTTGCTAATGATGTGTTGTCTACAGAGATAACGAAGGCTTTACTGTTAAATTATCTATCACACTCTATTGAAATTCGTAAGCTAAGTCGTCTAATAAACCTAGAGATTAGACGTCTCAACTCTATGTTTACTCAAAAACTCCTATCTCGTAAAAACTCTCCAATTATGTGGGAACTCTATAAAGAACTTAAAGGTGAGAGGCACATTAGAAGCGATAACCAGCTGAATGTTTGTGACTTAAGTAAGTCTTTTATACGTCAGTCATCTGATGTCATACTCCCTACATCCACACGTTTGAAGAATAGTTGTGATTCTAGTTTCACTGAAACTAATGTCCGGAAATGTCTCCAGTCACTTAATTTATCCCAATGTTTAGAACCTGATGGTATCCCAAACCTTCTTAAAACTTGCTGATGTCCTATGTTATCCATTCACGAGTATCCTTCTCAATTAATCTCACACCGAAAGTGTGGAGAAAGATAAAGATAATCCCTATGCCTAAGAAAGTATCTGGTGATACGAGTATGAAATTTAGACCCATAGCAATAACTTCACCTTTCCTCAAAACGATGGAAAAATTATTGATACTCCCACTTCAACCTGCAATAAAAGAGCTCATCGATCCGTATCAGTTTACTTACAAATGCAAAAGAGGCAACTTAGATGCCGTTGTTGTTTTTGCATCACAATATAGTGTTCAGCTTGGAAAAAGGTAAATAGTATGTTCGATGCACTTTTCTGGACTATGCTTCTGCTTTTGATTCCATGTCAAGACAACTTTTACTTAACAAGTTAATCAGCATCAACACTGACAGCTGGATAACCAATGGGCTACGTTCCTACCTCTCTGGTGGACAACAGTACACTGTGTTTGAAGGAGAGTGTTCAACATCTCTCCTGTCTCATGAAGGTGTGCGACAAGGACCCGTTCTTTCACCACTTCTTTTCTCTTTTCTTCTGCATGATCAAAATTGCCGAAAGGTCAAGTTATGCATCAGCCTTAAAGATTATAAGAAATAGTTATTTATATAAAAATTCTAAAAGGTAGCTGTCTACTTTATGAAGAAGATAACAAACAAGATCGTGATTAGCACTTACGATTTGTAAAAATTAGACGGTGTGATAAGACCATGAATAAATAACAAAATTGAACATGACTCTTTTGTATATAATGATCAGATTTGAGCTAATAAATTAATATAGCTTCAGTTGTACACAAATTACCAATGCAAACTTTATTCCAGCCAATTGTTTTCGTGGATAATCTTGAATGATGATTCTCGCGGGATATAACCAGAATCGACTATCCATTCAAGGGCTGAATTATTGATTGATTTCCATTCCTTTTTAGATACAATCATGCAGGATTGTGCCCGGATATTCGTTTAGTAGGTTTGCGATTTATGCGGCCAATATAACCTGCTTCGCAAGATCAAGTAAATTGATAAATGTACATCAGGGTGGCCCAAACCGGCCGTTTATTCTTAACATTTCCCTAAATCAGGTTCTTACAAGTAAAAACAATTCGTACTCCACCAGAATAAAAAATCTATCTCAAAGATAATTTAAAATAGAGCTTTGTAAGCTTTGAAACTAAATGATCGGTTTATGTAGATCATTAACGACTATTAGAGATGTCGTTTTTAACCATTATCGACATATTTCTTATGTTATGAATTTTTTTCTATATTCATTATTTTTTCTACCGAGACCAACTTGATCCATTTTACACTTTCAATCCTTGTTCACCTCCGTTTTATATTTTTACTGGATGATTCTTGTGTATTTTTTCCATATCTTTGGTATTACATCTGACTTAGCAATCAGTTATTTTAAGAGTTGATTTCAGCTAGGTGTAAGTTTTAAAAAACTTCAATAACATAAATACCCAAACTCTACTCTGGGCTAAAATTAAATTCATATATCTATCCATTTCGATAAAATCCAGTAACACTAGATTGTGAAGTAACTATTGTTGTTAAATCGTCATTTGGTCAAAATAGTCTTACTGATTTAGTTACTTATTCAGCATTCACACTCAGATACTTAACATAATTAGTATTGTACTATCAATAGATCAGTTGCATTTTGCGCGTTGTTTTGTAATAAAATAACCCACCAAAATCTGTGTTCATTGTTTTCTTTCATTGCAAATAAAATATGAATGTTCAACTGTGTTTTACTTGACTCTACTACATTTGTTATATTCATTAATTGTTATTCATTGTTTCTCTCATTCATTTACTTATCTTTGTGTACATCATCAAATCATTTTTTCTCTTAAGAATAAAACAAATTATTTGAGAATTTTGTCTGATTACTTTGAATTACATGGAAATGTGATGGATAGAGTTGATAACTTGCCAAAATTTGTGCATATACATCAAATGCAATATGGTCAACCATATTTAGAATTAATGTCGAAAGCTCAAGTAAGTTTATATGCAGTTGCATTCATATTGAATTGTCCTGTTAAAAAAGTTGGGTTTTTTTCAGTGTATTATAACTGGACTTATTAAGAAACTATTTGATAATCTGACTCAGAAATGTGCAACATTAAATAGTGTTAAGAATTATGATGATAGAGTTTAACGTACTAATGACCACAAAGCTGACGAACTGGCATTTCATCGTAAATAGTCACCAGCATTGTTTGTTTCTCAAGATATCAGTGAAATGTTAGCAGCGAACTCTGTGTTTGATGCATACTAATTCTATCTCATAGGAATTCGATTGATGAACAGAGTGAAGATGATTTTAGTGACAATACTATGCCACTAGAGAATTAAGTCAAGCGACAATTGATCTTAGTTACGCTCACAGGGTTCTTCCCCTCTCTAAATTCTCCAATTATCTATTCAGTGTCACCTATAATTTATCTGAATGTGAATACTATCTATTAACTTTACCAAAATAATGATAATGGATCCAATGAATTAGTGGACCGTCTCACACACACATAGATATAGATATTAGTACAAGGAGGCACCAAATACATATGCACCACACAAGTCTCATTCGATATGTGTGAGGGCTGTGATACTGTCCGGGTACCGAGACCGAAGCAGGTGGTTTTCTTAGGGGACCACACCCCGAGCCTTCGACCTGAAGGTCTGATCCACAAGGCAGTGGAGCATCGTAAGGAGATGAGGTCCCATGGAAGCCGGTGACCAATAATTGATTCATACGCCATTTGTTCCCGCAGGATACTGGAGCCCATGTGCACCATCAGTTTGGAGTCCGGTTAAAGCGCCGGACATTCGCTTTTCTTCCTCTCATTTTTGTAAACAACAGCCCCGCCACGAGAAGGCAGTGAGTAGGACTTCCCTGGCAGAGGCTACATACGCGTGGCCATGTGAGAGCATTTCGAGAGGGAAAGTTGACTCTTTCCACTCTCGGCCGTACCAGGGCATTTGGGGGCGTCTCACACACGCAACGCAAAGTTGTGAATAAAAGGGGAAAAAACCAATAAAATTGAGCTGATGCGATTCAGAAACCAACACCATAGGATAAATCAGTGCTAGACATATTAATCGGTCATTTGGATGTAACTGCACGGTTAGACTGTTTGATTTCGAAATCTGTTGGTTTACAATCAAGCTTATGAAGGACATCAAAAAAGAACATAGTATATATGTTCGATCAAGACTTTAACTAATTTGGTATCCTTTAGCGATCCTAGATCTGACTAATTGGGTTGTTTGCTGCTTGTTATTTCACTGGATTATACTCCTTGAATAACATCTTCAAACCCTACTCTTTCCGATTACTGTTTATACTCTTACTACCCCTACCACTACGGGATTTGAATCGATGAATGCATCTCTGTGCTAATGTGGTATGGCAACTCGAACTGATGTATGTACCTTCGAAGTTCCACATTGCTACTGACTGACTGTTATTGAACTATACATGCCGCTAATCATTGTGTATAATCATCGACTTAAAGAGCGTCGGTGAATAATGAAATCAAATAAGTCAAATATGAGAAAGGATTTTTGAATCCGTATAATTCGTACAATCGCTGTTCGGAAAGCAAAGCAAAACGAAATAATGCGCAATGGAGATGGCGAATAAGCCGACACCGTTTAACCATGCGTGAATCGATATTTATAGTCACACAAAAATAAGTCACATACGCTTACATAAAAACAGTAAAGGTTGATAAGCGAATAAGTGACAAGGTCAAAATGTGGTTTAAGAGCAATGAATATATTGATCAGTCCTGTCCAAAGGCTGGAACAACCTAGATGTGCTCGACATAGGGCGAGGCCTTACAATCTAATTTCATTAGTTAATCAAGGATTTTATGCATTTGCATAAACCACAACTATTCATTCGATGTCTCTCGACCTGTTTCCTTTAGTCGTCCATTTCTGTGCTGCAGAAAACTTTAGTCAATAAACATGCAGTCCCATGTACTACTAAGACTCAGAAGTAGAGGCGCTATACTTTGACCTCATACTCTCTTCTCGACCAACTTAGGTAAAGTTTACTCTGTTCTTTATTCCCATAACACCGGCCCTCAAATTGAACGATCGGGAAATACGTGTTAACTACTTGAGTTTGAGACAGAAGTTTCACAAATCTAACATTGCGATATGTTATGTCTCAGTGCAGTCGCAATTCGTAATCGTCTTACAGTCAAACTATCCGTAAATGTCAGACTATATTCATCTATAAACCAACTGTGGATTCTAAAATCACAGAGATAAAGAGAATGGTCATTATCGTTGACTACTGGAACCTATATAATCAATGAAGATATAGGACCCGAAATTTCCCTTACAATTATCTTGATAATTGATTCATTAGTATGTAAGTAATTTATGAGTGTGCCTCCCAGCATGTTGTTGTGTTCATTAATTTAAATTTTGCCAGTCAAATCTTGATTGAGTTTTGATCAAGGCGTTGTCTACTTTATCACAGCCTAAAATTTATGATGGATGAAAATAGCAGATATTGATGTGATTAAGTGTATGGTATTCTTCGCTAAGTTTGTGTCAAGTTGTACTCTTCCATAAGACGTTAGTTATTCATAGTTGATAGTTTGTACGTATAATATGTCACATTTCCAATTGCATCTTCCTAGTTTTTTTCTTTTAGTTATTCTTGGCTATAGAGGGTGAACTAAAATTATGTGAAACATGATTATCTGACAGTTTAACGTGACCGATTTCATGTGGAACGAACCATATTTTTATGGTATCATAATGATACATTTTCGTGTGATATCTTTAATTAGTGGAGATCTATTTGATTGAAGTTAATTCAAGTGTAGAGTTAAGTTGTTACTTTGAAATTGTTGAGAGATGAGTTTTAATTGATTAATTGTAATGAGAGTGTATTTATTTTTGTTTGTGTAAAAACATAAACCACTGTAATGTTAACTAGTGGAATGTTTTCTAAAATGTATTCTAGATATTGATTGGATTGGGATTTCCTTACGAAGGTCCTGCGCCTTTAGAAGCAATCGCTAATGGTCTTATTTTTCTTAATCCTCGTTTTGATCCGCCTCACGGTAGAAGCAGTCAAGCATTTTTTGCTCATAAACCTACTTCACGTTCTGTAAGTACTTATTTTAAATAGTTTTATTTGATAACGTATTATTTAATATACCGATAGGAAGGGACTAAAAAAGAAACCAGTAACTTAGTTGACTAGTCATTGAGTGAGGTTGAAATTTTAAGCTTCAAATTTTAATTCATTCTGCTTTGTCTTCGGTACATATCTTACTGGACAATTTACTCTTTTACTGAGTGCTTCAGAACCAACCATTTAATAAGTTTTTAATTTTAATTTTATGTATTTAAAAGTGTTTATAAAGAGTAGTAGTTTATCAAAGTACCTATTCTTCGCTTAGACAAGGTTCTGTCTTCTGACATTCCTTGTCTGAGTGAGATATAATTGCATGCGATTAACATTCACGTTTTTTGCTAATTCGTATATTACCAGCATAAATCCACTTTGATTCTCGTTTTTATAATCCACTCAGTCATACTATATATCTTTGAAATATCTCATATTATCAATTCTTCAAACTACTGTCTATTTACTTATATACAATTATATGTTAGTTTGTTTAAACTTCCTTTATTATTCATATCATGAATATAATGAAATTTGTCTTTTTGCTTACCATTAGTGAACAACATCCATTAAATGTAAACAAGTTTACCAGTGACGTTGTGATATTCTCTGAGGTTTATTATGTAATCAATCGCAAAGCTTTTATTTTCATTCTGGACATCATAAGGGATCATTTCTATCTTAGATGCAAGTCTTCTTCTCGTTTACCATTTATTTAGAACGTAATATATCTTCACTAATCAGAATAATAACATGGTTTAATATTACGGCGTAACTAAAATATTTTCGCTTGCCACGATTTATTACTATTATACGATAATACGACCAGTGAATGGGATTACACTTCTGCCAGACTAGATAGTCGATTGACACACTATACACATTTCGAATCACATCATACCATTTATAAGATTCACGACCATAAATAGGGAGCCAAAGTATAAGCTAGACATTACTTCACTCAACACTCAGTAAGTTGAGTATCTGTCCCCAAATGCCCTGGTACGATCGAGAGTGGAAAGAGTCAACTTTCTCTCTCGAAATGCTCTCACATAGCCACGTGCATGCAACCACTGCCAGGGAAGTCCTACTCACTGCCTTCTTGTGGCACTAGTGTTGCTTACGAAATTGAGAGGACGAAAAGTGAATGTCTGGAGCTTTAACCGGGTTGGTGGATATGGAGGATCCACCTAGTGGAGTACGAAAACCCTGATTCTAAACCAATAGTACACATGGGCTCCAGGATCCTAAGAGAACAAATGGCGTATGAACCAATCGTTGGTCACCGGCCACCATGGGACTGTATCTCCTGACGTTGCTCCACTGCTTTGTAGATTAGACCTTTAGGCCAAAGGCTCGGGGTGTGGTCCTCTAAGAAAACTGCCTGTTTCGGTTTGGGCACCCGGGCAGTACTCCAGCCCTCACACAAATCGAATAATTTATGTGGTGCATATGTATTTGGTGCCTTCTTGTACCTATGTTCATGTGTTTAAATAAATATATAAAAAAGCTGCCGCCGCTCAATAACCAACCAGATCTTGTTTTCACTAGCCACACCTCAAGGTTTGAGTTTAGTTCATATGTAAGAATAATAATTATGATTTAATTCACTAAGTAAGTACACGTCTATGTACTTGAATTTGAGCCATATTGTTTGTGTCAAAGTTAGTGATACTATTTGTAGCGGTTCGAGTCTATCCAGAAGGTATTTTGTTTATTAGGGGAACATACAGCGTAGCGTGGATGAGGAGGGCTGGAAAGGCGAAGAACAAATGGAAAAGTAAGTTGACGATGCAGAAAGTGCACACAATGCATTTATATTTTCTACGAAAAACAATAGATAACAATCTGCGATAACACGAGCCTCGGCTTATGATAATCGTGGAATCGAAACTAGAAGCTGATGGTTTAACCCGCCCCAAATCTCGAAGAGCATTTAAAACAGCATTTGAACTTATGAGCTGGTCTTTAAAAATTTAATAATTTAACCAATGATTCACCACTCCAGTTCATATTACTGACCATTACTAAACAGTGTCACTGATAAAATCAATTTATATATAGGCACAAAATATTGCGTAATTTGTTTTTTTTGATGCAGAAAAAGTAATGCGTATCATTAACTTCGAATAAGCAAAGTTTACTCCAATCTAGACTATGACATCTATGTCGTTTTATTATGAAGATTTAAGCATATCAACAGCCTATTGAATCATTCCGAAATTATGAACATTTTCATGTTTATCCTATTGAAATAAAATCGTTTTTTTCTGAAATTTAATGATATAAGTAGTTAAATTATAGCTGCGACTATAGACGAATGTTAAATTGATCTTCATTGAAATCATGAACCAATCAAAGTCAAACCAACATTTAAAACTTGGATGGCCGTTTCGTTTCAATATGAGGCTCATTAGCAGTGTGCGTCTACAACTTCCTACCAAAGGGAATGGAACCCAGGACCTTTGGTTTCGCGGGCGAACTTTTAACCTATAAACTACTGAACCACGACATTGCGCGACCATCTTTCATTGTTTCTGATGGGTTACTACCTCACATCCAACACGGATTAGCTCCAATGGTCACGTCTTCTTATTAAAACTCCGGAAATATCCTCTCGAAGCTAGTCTCTATCATTAAACCTTGACCTTAATAAAATATCAATGTTTATGTTAATCATGAAATTATGGATTAGTTTTATCACCGACCCCAATTTATTGCCATAAAAAATTGGGTATAATTAACAATGGTACTCATGTGTAGAATAATCAATGAATAAGCACATACCTAGGTAAAGTAACACCCCTGACAATTTTTTCTACCTTTATTTATCTCATCAATTTGATGTTCATTTTTACAATTATTTAAACTGAAAATCAAATCCAATGATGTATGTAAATATTTTATCATTGTGAAATATACACTTATTCTGTTATTAATTTAGAAAAATGTAATAGATATTAGAAATTGTAACTTAAACAAATTTGTTCTATTTGAAAAATGCGATCAAACGTTCAGCAAATATGCATATATCCTATTTTCAAAAATGCTATTTTAATGCCTACAATTATGTGCAACCGTGTAGAAGTGTACATTATTTAAAGACACCTAAGGTAATTGTAGTTATTTACGATGCAACAAACCAAATTCAAATCCCTTTGTAGTGTATGCTACTTATGCTGAAAGGTATAAGTAGTATGTAACGGCAGTTGGGAATGGAATACCTGTCGATATAAAATTGAATTGAACAGAACGGGACGGGAAATAGAGAGCAATTGGAATAACAACAGAATTAAAAGAATCGTGAAATATTTGAAAGACGAATGTAGGAAGATGTGCAAATAATGTATTCAATGTATGATTTTCATGTTTAAGCCACTGTGATTTTGCAATAAACAATAAGTTGGTTTTCCATACCTGAGTTCTCATTCACTATACCCTTAATGCTTTTTTATCCGTATTTGTGTATTATTCAGTAAGGAAGTGACTATAATAAAGCCGGTATTAAATTGCTTATATGGTTGCAAATAGTAGAGGTTATATGTTCAATATCAAGCATTTTCGAGCTTTTTCCCATTTATTAAGTATGTGAACGTATACGCCGGCGCCATTGTGATCGATTCTGAGCCATGTCACCTACAGTCTCCAACCATTGGTTACGATAGTCACGCGCACCCCAACAAAGTAGTCTGCATTTGCCAACATGGCTCAGACTAGAAGTTAGTGACTCCAAGGACTGATGCCACGTTTTGGTTTGGCCGTCCCTAACTTTCTCCCAACCATCTCCAACACCAGTTAGCATTGCGCGTCGTGGTAATCGGTGTTCAGGTATACCTAATACGTGGCCTAACCATCTCAGTCGATGAAGATTCACAACCTCACCAACTGATTTACCATCATTCTCTAATACCCTAGGTCTAACCACTATTACTTACCCGGTTATCCCAGCAGATGTGAGCAATATTTCTAAGACGTCCGTGGTCAGCTTCTCAGATAGACGTTAGTATAGTGAGGAAAATGTTGAATATCATCTTTCAAGTATTATAAGCAAAATTCGTTCTACAAACATATTCCTGACCACCATAGTACACTAAATAACTCTCATATTTCTCCATTAGAGTTAATTATTTACTTGAATATTAACCAAGAAAAATCCTCCAACCTCGTTTGTTTAAGGCGATTGGATTAATCATTTGAACTGATGGATTTTATTCTTTGAGACTATTATCCGTTACCAATTTGAAATTCTTCCCTATTTAATGTAGACAAGGACATAATGCAATCTCTTGATCACACTGAGTAACATGCAAGAATGTTTGGAATATAATTTCCTTTCTCTAAACTTATGTTGCTTCGGCACTACATTGTTCATACAGAGCGAAGTAATTAAATTTAATCACAACTTCGCTTATATTAAGAGTCTCATCATCTCTGGTGCATTGGCATGCTAAGACACCTAGATACAGCTCTCATGTATTTTCTGACCTTGCGTCAATTGTAGCGTTGGCAAGATGTCTGGGTGCCTAACGAAAGGTCTAGTACAATCCTTAGCAGTCGGCTCTGTGTTACTCATTAAAACTGAGACATCGTCTGTAAAAGTAAAAGACATGCATAAGCTTCAGGTGTGTTTATCATAGATATCTTGGAAGCATTTCCTGAGTATCATGAAATATTTGAAAGAGCGATATTGTGTTTAACCATGAGGACACTAGCCAAGTATAGTGAATTGATTAATGAGGTAGTGAATCTTTACCAACTGAGAGTGGTTGGAACATGTCACGTGCGCCTAACCACTACCTACTTTGAGGGGAGATGTTAGCCGGTGTTTAAGTAAATTAGTGTGGCTAAACTAAAACATAAGGTCAGTCCGTAAGATCGCCTGTTATTGGATTGAGCCCTGTTGTTAGATGTAGGAAACCTGATTGGGGTCTGCAAAACTATCGCTATAGTGGTTGGTTGGCATGACTCAAAATCAGTCACAGTGGGGAAAATGCATTGATTCTTTGTGTTATTTTGAGTTTTAAAATTATCTCACAAATTCAATCTTCTTAAATCATATCGTTTATTCCTAATCTTTTCTATTACCATCAATTTAGTCACTACATCTATTATTGTGCCCTTAATCATGATATTCGGTTACAACGGTAAATATGCTTTCGCTCTTTGTCGTCCTCTGAATCCCTTTAGTTCCAATATTTCTTCACTCATACCTATTCATTTAGTCTTTTTTGCACCATATCGTCAATGTTTGGTTTTATTGATTATTATCATTACTATTTTATTTCGGCTTCTTTGCCACTCATATTTTTAATTACAGCTTGTCGTGTTAACATAAAATATCAACTAGAGCTAATTCACATCTGTCACAGGCTTCATGTCGATTTGGATTAGCTGACTTTTTCCTCCTTCACAAGTTGAAGATCATTTTATAGATAATTGATGGTTTTTACTATGAATGACAAATTTGCTTTGCTTTTGTGTTTATTCAATTGATTAGTGTGCTATAATGTTTCCACACTTTCGATTATTTCAATCTTAGTAGCTTGAAACGAGATATATACATACGAAGGGGGTTATTCTAATCTTATTTCTATTCTTTAGAAATACGGGTTTTGTAATATACTTCTATATCCCCAAATAACTTATAAGTAACAATGCATGAACTATCCTCACGTCACGACCACTTTTTTTCTATTTCTGCAGCTTACCAGCCAACATCCGTACATAGAAAATCACATCGGTGAACCTTACTCATATTTGGTTGATATGGACAATGAAACACAGATACGCTTAACTATCAAACGTATTCTGACCAACATTTCTGTAAGATTTCACTTTTAAGTATTTCCGTTTTTCACGGTTACTATTATTATTATCATAACCTTAAGCAAACCATTCACTATATATATATATATATATATATATATATATATATATATATATAAACCTTTTATACTTTAAAATAAATATGCTATATAAATATGTTAGCCTTTAATAATCGGTTATAAAATATCAGCTTTTTTATAGAGGTGAATTGAATCTTAGAGTTTTCATCCTTAAGTTATGCATTTCGGCTGAGCGTTTAATTACTGTTTGTTAATTTTAGAACGGAACCTATCGTCCTCACGAATATAGTCCGTGGGGTTTACTCGAACGCCTTAATGCTTATTTGACACGCCAAAATATCTGCGCCGCACCTTTTTACAAAAACTTGATCCAGTCTCCATTGCCGATAACAAAAGCTGATGCGCCTCCTAAATTTAACTACCTAGATGTCCCTAGCACTACTGTTTCATGGCCTCCAGCATCAAGTTTGAAGATAGTTTTGGGATCTCGTGGTAAATCTTGTGCAGATGTGTGTATAAATCTGGGAACTTCAGAACATACTTTATTACTGCCTCCCGATATTTCTGCTTACTCCATTCGCAACAAAATACAACATCCCCAAATACAGAATGGCTACCTCTACTATCGTTCTATTCACACTACGCCTTCGCAAAACTTGTCTTATCTTTATGCATTTCGCTGTTCTCCAGAACACTTTCCAAGTGTTAATCATCGACTAAACCTTCAACATCTCGGTGTTTCTTGTCCTAATATTACTTACACAACTAGTCCAATGGCACCATATTGGGACGATGCAACAAGTTCATGTGTTTTTCAAGCTAATCATGAATGGTTTGACTGTACTGCCTCAGGGACTCTTAATGGATCTGATGTATTTTCTCGTTTTTGTCCTTGTCGTGATGCTCTTCCTAACCAGATTTCTTTATGTTCTAACTGTTTGTGACAAAATATTCTATTCCTTAATGATCACATGTATAGAAAATTATACAAGCTACATTTATACTTTCACCTTCCCGTCCGGTTGTATATGAATCGTATTATGTACTTTCTTTAACATTTTAAGTGTACGGTGAAGCACTGAATATTTGATTGTTATTTTCTGTCGAAAAGCATTTTTCCCATTTCAGTCTGCAACATTAATATATTTACTAATAACTGCATTTTAATTTGTATTTACTTCCTATAAATTCTAGTCGACGAACTTTTTTCTGTTGTAAAGTCTTAATTCCTTCAGATTTTTTCGTTTTAGAATCTAATTGTAAATTTCTTTTCATGCTTGTACAACGTATTTTCGAATTATATAGAATAATATTGTTGTGTGTTAGGAAACTAGATTATTTTTTCCATATATGTTTGCAATATTAAGTTGATTTCATTGACAACTGATTTGGTTGAGTTTTGTGAATGAAGAACTGTAGTTGTCTGTTTCGATATTCTGAAGGACAAGATATGTTTGATGACTTTTTAATAATCATTTTTAAGTATTAAATAGTTTGCTAATTTTTAATACATAAGTGTCATACATCTTTGCAAGAATTGTCCATCATATCAGGTTTTAAAGGATTAATAAACAGAGTTTGTATCTGGCGATCTCAAGATGGTACATGCCACTAAATATAGAATTCATTTACACCTGAAATTCGACAGTTTATAATCTTTAAAGGTTGATCAATAGTCAGGCTGATTAGTAAAAAACAAGAGCTTTGCGTTTGCCTTGTGAATAGTTTACATTAAACCATGTGACGTTGTGAAGTGGTTTGGTATTGCCAAGCGAGATGTTAAAACTTCGTGACCATCATCAAAATATAGACCACCGGATTCTCTGTGCTTGTAATAACCACAGTTGTAGATTAATCGTAAGAATAAAGTTGCCATCTTAATCCTGTCGATAACTTCGCATGGCTAGTAGAGTAAAGTCCCGCTCGTTCGATAGCCATAATTTTGCTGTAGTTTAATAAGACTCGAGTTGCAGTGGATTGAAGTTATATGAATAAGAGTATTGTGAACGTTACTTACAAATCCATCGTAGACTATAGTTTTCTACTACCTTTAGTATGTATTTGGTTATGTGATGTGGTGATTGCTATTACACCGAGTTGCATATTTTGTTTCAGCGAGTTACTGGTTTGTTATGGCTCCAGCTGCCATTCATTGGATAACCTCCGTCAAGAATACCTAGTATTTTGTGCTTTTACCAAGCTTCCTAATTAGCCCAGTGATATGAAAATGACATCCATACTTTTGCTATTGACTAAATCCCTTTTTAGATTTCATATTTTAAGTATACCATACAGTTTGCGGGAATCAGCACTGAACAAAGCATGTATTATTCAACTGTTTAGTTTGAATGGTATGTCATACCATGCTCAAAAAAATCAACCTCACTGCAATAGAGCCCTACATTGATAACCAAATAAGAAGGAAACAGCTATAAAATAGGAAGCCCATTGGGCTTAATTAGGAATCAATGTGTACAAACATTTATGGTAAAGAGTTTTAAAAACTTCAATGTGTATAATGAGTCTTCATCAAATGAGGTTGTTGGAACATGTATTACAGTTATGTTAAATCCATACAACTGTATACTTATTTTGGAATACAAGTTCTGACCGTCAAATGTGTGAACTCGATTTTACTAGCTAACTTGTGCTCGGCTGTGAGACTAATTCTGACGCCTTATACATACATCGTAACAATATGTCTCTGTATGTGTGCCTGTCTATCTGTTCTTCTGTTAATCACCATTATTCTACTGATCCATAAATAATTAAAACTCCTTGGCTGCGGACTCATTCGAATACAACACATGTGGATGTGCTTAATCCAATCATGGATTTATTTTATAATAATAAAGTTCATGGATATCATATTTCTAGTGTTATTTCTATCCTGGTAAAAATGATGATGATTCTAGAACCAGCATCAATATGGATACTATCTAATATAATTCTGGTGTTATCTATTACAACTTAAGTCCAGTTGTGCCCATTTAATCCATCCATATTTCATTTTTTTTACCGCTGTGAATATCAGTTAATTAACACTGCCTGTAGCTCTTCTAGGGCCACTGCTGGGCTCAAGGAAAATGGTTGGGCATGGGGTCAGCAACCCCATAACGTAGAAAACAACTGTGCCAAAAAGTGCTGTTCGGAATAAATTAGGAATTATGATACCTCATGATGAAAGCCGAGATTCTTCGAAAGTCACACGGCCGATGCTCCTTTTAACAACGAAAGCAGCAGTTTTTATAGATAAATGCAACGTCTGAACAATGTGCTCAGGAAAGAACCTGACCATCCTGATGGGAGACCTAAACGCCAAAGTCGGAATGGACAACACCGGATATGAAGATATCATGGGATGACATGGACTGGGAGAGAGGAACGGAAACAGGGAGACATTTGCGAACCTATGAGCATTCAACAAATTGGTTATAGACGGTACAATATTCCCACACAAACGCATACACAAACTACATGGGTCTCACTGGACCACACCATGGAGGACCAGACAGATCACACTTGCATCCGTGAAAAATTCAGGTCAACGGAAGATGTGAGAACTAGGGGAGAACATGACGGATTAAGATCACCACCTGGTTGTTGTCAAGATGAAACCGAAACTGAAGAGGCGATGAACAACTGGGTGGGCAGCAATTCATGGGTCCAAAACAGACTTCTTTCGACATGTTGACAAACTCAACACTCCGATTAGTAGAACACTTTGAAGAAATGTTGAATAGACCAGATCCATTGAATCCATCGGACATCGAAGCAGCACATACAAACTTTTCTATAGATGTCAATCAACTAACGATCGAAGAAATCAGGATGGCCATTAGACAAATCAACGGTGGGAAAGCAGCTACATTAGACAACATACCATCTGAAACACTGAAGTCAGGTATTGAAGTAACTGTAGACATGCTTCACGTTATATTCAAGAAGATTTAGGAGGGGGAACAAATGCCACTTTGTTCTTATTGATTCCCTTAGTTGTACATTGTTAGTCTTTTGATTACATTTGAATTGTTATTATTTGTATTTTTTTTTATCATAGTTTTTATTTTCCTTACGCCTTCACTAAATTTTCGTGTTTCTTCCCGAACTGCATCCGTGTTGTTTTACTTGACACTTGATCTTGGCGGCAGCCATATTGATTAGCCCCTCCCTTTGTGTGTGTGTTCCATCCAATCAGGATAGAATAACGTTCATTTGTTGTGACTGGTAATTTTCCCTCGTCTTTTATCAACTCCTTTATTTATTGTAATTTAGATTTTATTGATTGAACAATTATTGGTTGAATAGCCGGGTGGTAATATTTGTTTAGGTAACGATTTACATTTAAATTTATGATGAATTATAGGACCACTATTTACCCGATTACTTGTTTTGATTTCGACGGGAAAGGACGCGTGTCTAACGTACCTGGACGGCTATTCATCAGTTGAGATGGCTGGGACACGTGTTACGTATGCCCAACGGCCGACTGCCTCGACGTGCTATGTTCAGTGGTATAGGAGTAGGTTGGAAGAAAGCTAGGGGCGGCCAAACCAAAACATGGCTCAAGTCCATGAAGTCACTGACAAGTGAACTGAGTCATGTTGGTAGGTGTAGACTACCTGGTTGGGATTCGCGAGAGGATAGCAACCGATGGTTAGAGACCCTGAATGACATGGCTCAAAATCGTTTGCAATGGCGCAGGTGCATCCACTCTCTGTGTTCTCCCAAACTCTAATCTTCTGAATTCTTCATGTCCCTTTTTCCCTCTTTCCAAATTTCTTTCACTGGATTATACTCTTTAAATAACATCTCCAAACCCTAATCTTCCCGATTACTGCTTATACTCTTGCTACCTCTACCACTACGGGATTTGAATCGACCACTGCATCTCTGTGCTAATGTGGTGTGGCAACTCGAACTGATGTACGTACGTACGAAGTTCTACGTTGTTACTGACTGACTGATTCATCTATCCGAACCGTAGTTTGGATCTTGCATCCCCCTTCCTCTTTCTTCTGATGGTTGATCGGATTATGAAGACCTCGATATCCGAGCGGTAACATGGAATACACTGGACAGTTTGGATGCAACCAGAAGATTTGGACTTTGAAGATGACTTAGCTCTTTCATCCCATACACATGAACAAATGCAGATGAAGACAGTTAGTATAGCAGCAGCCTCTACATCAGTAGACCTCAACATACACAAGGGAAAAGTAAGATCCTCAAGCGCAATACGGAGAACACCAACCCAATCACACTTGATGGCGAAACTCTTGAGGATGTGGAATCCTTCACCTACCTGGGAAGCACTATCGATGCGGACGTAAAGGCGAGGACTGGCAAATAAAGGACAACAAATGGGACTCAAAACAACTTCCAACCAATGTCAAAGTCAGTATCTTCAACACAAACGTCAAGGTAGTTCTTTTATATGATGCTGAAACTGAGAGAACTAATACAACCATCATCAAAAATGCACAAGTATTTCTAAACGGTTGTCTATACAAGATACTCTGTTATAACTTTTTGTTTGAATGTTTATTGTCTTGGCTCTTTTAATGCTACCTTTGTATCTGGTCGTCGCTGATTGTTATGTCGGAAACGCCTATTATTTATACTCGGAACAAGGGACAGTTGCTATTTGAGCGACAAACTATAACAATTGGCAACGGGGTGAAAAAAAGTCTGAACCTTCAATCTTCAAATTAACGACTCAAGGTCAGCCTGCAGTTGGACAAAATTCAGTGTAATTATTTCGAACAACCAGCATACAAAATTTTCGCCAATGTCCTTCAACGACATTGATTGTTAATTAGTCATACAGTATTTTTCATTACCGTGCTGATTCAGAAGATGGCTATCTCTTCCGATCAATTACAGTTGCTATTCGAGAGACAACAGCAGCGTTTCAAAATGAACCAGTTGAATGTTTTAGACAATTTACGCACACGGCTGCTAAATCATCCATTTTTTGGAGATGTGACAGAAGTTGATAAATTAATTTCTAATTTGCATACAGAGCTAGAAAATGACTGCAGAACGTATGAACTGTAGATGAAACCCTCCGTGAATCCTTGATAAGCGATAATGTAAATGAATTAGTAGCAATCATTCGTGATATGCCCAGTGATCCAGAAATGTCTATTTCAGAGACATGCCCTGTCGTGGGTTCAAATCCCATTGTCATCGAAACACCATGTACAAACACTGGATTGTCCAGCTCACAGAAAGACGATGTCTTATTAAATGCTCATGAAATTATTGCAGTACCCGCCCACAAAAAAACAGAAAATGAATCAAGCATTATAATGAGTACATTTGCATTAAATGGAGTTCATCATTCTACGACAAAAGTTTCTGATGAATATACTTACTGGGGTTCTGTAGTTGCTTTACCAGATATGATTTATCTTAATGACTCACATGCTTTTGATCAAATTTCTTACGAAAATGAGGAAAATTTGTCGGATGCATCAAACGATGATCAAGAACCTAATAGAACTTTGGTAGATGCTGAGTATTCTAG